GTTTCCGCCATTCGTTGATTATCCTATGATAAGTGTTTACATCTTTAGACAAAGACCTCACTATCAAGAGACGTTAAAAATATAAAAATGATCCATGGGCGTACCTCTTTTTTAATTCCTTCAGATTGTAATTGTTATTCAATTGAAGAATAAGTTACAATTTTTCAAACCAGAAAAAATGATACACTAGTAAATATCAAGTGCAGCAAAACCGAAAGGATGTTTGTTTAATTTTGGAAGAAACCCGCCGGTTAACCTTAAAACCGGCTGCTTTATCTACCCTATCCCCACTAACCATATAACAGCCCATGGAAACCCAGTTTGTTTGGGCCGTAAAAACCAGTCCATTAAACCTAATTTAGCCCGTTACCAGAACTACCTATAAAAGCTTGTGCTTGTCTTGGACACCTTGGATTAGGGTTTTTTCTTCTCAATCAATATTTCGTTTTGGCTGCAGGTGAGCGCCGAATCATAAACCCTAGCTATGGCGATCGACTCTGTGCAATGTTTCGGAAGGAAGAAGACGGCGGTTGCCACCACCCACTGCAAACGCGGCTCAGGTCTGATTAAGCTTCACGGTTCGCCGATCGAGCTTTTCCAGCCGGAGATCCTCCGTTTCAAGGTCTTCGAGCCCCTCCTCCTCCTCGGGAAACACCGTTTCGCCGGCGTTGATATGAGGATCCGTGTCAGAGGTGGTGGTAACACATCACAGGTCTACGCAATCCGTCAGAGCATTGCCAAGGCTCTCGTTGCTTTCTACCAGAAGTTTGTTGACGAGCAGTCGAAGAAGGAGATCAAGGACATCCTCATTCGTTACGACAGGACTCTCCTCGTTGCGGATCCGAGGCGGTGCGAGCCAAAGAAGTTCGGTGGTAAAGGTGCTCGTTCTCGTTTCCAGAAGAGTTACCGTTAAACCTGGTTTGGGTTTTGTTTTCTTTCTCTCAATGTTTTGGGACATCAGTTTGTTGAAATTGTGAGACCTTAGTTTCTCATTTGCGTCATTTTGTTATGGGTTTTTGGATAATGGTTACTTGCCAGAAGAACTTAAGCTTTTACAATGTTTGATCTTTCAACTATCGAAAAATTCTCTTATCACTATTTTCATCTATTGTCTATTGTCTTAGGCCGTTCTAGCTTTACTCTAATTACTCCTTATCAATTATCAATTGTATTGGTCGCAGAAGCTTTTGGGCATTTGTTGATTTGTGAAAGTATCTGGCTTGTAGTTATTAGCTGATCAGTTAGTTAAGTAGTCCTGTTCTTGCCTCAGAATTCGTACCTCAGTCATGTTTTTTTTCCATAGAAGAGTTGATGATTTTTCTCTTATGTTAGAAATGAACCAATCATTTTCTGTGTTTTGATTCATTGAAGATAAGCTTGATTGGTTTTGAGATGAAAAACGAAAACACTGGAATTTGTGGAACGCTTGAATAGTTTTAGCCTCAAAATATCTTACAAGTGATAATGTGTTAATAAGTGTGGATTGGTGTTACTGAGGTTGATTATATTTTGCGTAATGATGATTGTTATATTGCCTACAAATGTTTGTCTTGAAACGAAACTCGAAAAGCAAGGGAAACGATATCTCAAAACATTATTACAGATCCTGAAAATGTTTTCTTGAAACGAAACTCGAAGCAAGTGAAACGCTAAAATATTATTACAGATCTTGGAAATGTTTTCTTGAAACGAAACTCAAAGCAAGTGAAACGTTAAAACATTATTACAAATTAAGCGTTTACTCGACGATGCTGTAATTACTTTAAACTTCCCGAGGGAGGAGGATGGTGAACAAGACTTTGAAACTGTCATCATGTTAGCATCAAGTAGTGTCATCGCATCCTTATCTGAAGCTTCAAAAACTTCGATGTATTCGGAGACTGACTTATTCATCTCTCTGATCGTTTCATTGCTGTTTCTGCGTTGTCTCTCCATTTAATCACCAAGTCTTCCCGAGCTTCCACGGGGAAGATGTCCGTAGAAACTTACTCAGGTACCTATTGAAGGAGTCCAGAGAGAGAGGAATTGACGTCTTCATAGACAATGATATAGAGAGGAGCAAATGGTCCCGAGCTCATAAAAGCTATAAGAGGGTCGTTGATTGCAGTTGTCTTGATCTCGCTTCATCAGCATGGTGTCTGGACGAGTTAGCGGATATCATGAAGTGCAGAAAGGAAGATAGTCAGACAACGATGGTGGTTTTCCATGGAGTGGAACCATCTCATGTGAAGAAGCAGAAAGGATCTTTCGGAGCTGTCTTTGAGAAAACTTGTGCAGAGAAAAGTAACGGAGGAAGTTGACAGATGGAAACAAGCTTTGGAGGATGTGGCCATTCAAGTAATTAGTAAAGTCCTTTCGATTTTTCACTATATTGTTGTTCATGGATTTTTGAAGTGCACGTCATTTTCATCCTGGTGACGACGTAGTCATGGTTGAAACAATTGCCACCAATGTTTCGAACAAGTTGAATGATTGTAAACCATCAAATGGCTCTGAATGCTTTTATGTCGCATCTGGTGCATTCAAAAGGGCCTCGTTGTAGGATGTGGATCGTGCAAGTACCATCTACTAGGTCTACTTGGATTTACGGAGCTTCTCTATTTCTTCGAATCTTCCATCTCTCTAAACTTTCGTGAAGAAACATATGTGAATCTCAACGAGGTTGAGCTTGAGTTTGAGTTCAATATCACTGGTGAATACTGGAATGTAAAAGCCTGTGGTGTGCGATTCTTGGATGACCATGGATGCAGTGAAAGTATTGGAAACGAAACTTAATACGAAGAACCTGCAGACATCAAAATAACTGAAAATTTACATTCAGGGACGGTCAGAAGAAGAATCCCTTACTACTGGTAAGCTTTGGATAAGAATCAGTTTTGATTATTGTATTTGGGATAACAGACTAATGTTTTTGCATCAGTCTTTTGGTAAGGCCAAAATCAGCATATAAAAACTTTTTTGAGTACTTGGGATAACAGTACAGTTTCCACATGATTTTGATTATAGAAATATAAACTTTTACGAACCAAAGAATAAAGAAACTTGTAACCAAAAAGAATCATGGATTAGTCGTTTGCTGATTTTGGCCTTACCACAAGACTGATGCAAACATTAGTGTCAGTAAAAGCAAGAATAAGATGCCTAAACATTAACTTGTGTACTTCAAGTGGGACATCTGATTTTATTATTTTGATATTTCATCTCTCTTTGCTAAGCATATTTTTAAGTTTCCAAATGAAATAAACAGATGCAACAGAGATAACTATAACATACAACTACTTAATGAGAAATTTATAAAAAAAACTTACTAAAAATGATTTATTTTTTTGCACGAAAAATGTTTAAAGTAGAAGTAATATAACTAATTATATATATATATGTTATTTATATATATAAGTAACAATTTTATTATTATAATTGCAAATATGCAAATTGATTATAAAACTTTATAATTAATTAAAACAAAAATTATACCAATGTAATTGCTGAGAGTTTATCCTTCGTTATCAAAGCCTTTATGCTTGATAAAGAAGAACTCATTAGTTCATTGTACAATGTACAAAGCTTTTGAGTAGCAGTTCCTTTGCTCCAACTTATGCCAACTAGACAGTAACTTTGTTAATTTTTGCTGAACGAGTATGACTAATTTCAATCCTTATTTTATAAATTTACTTTGTTATTTCAATCATAAACTGTTTGACCTTTTTTTAAGAGAAACACTGTTTTTTTAAGGAAAAAAAGAGAAGAATAAATTTATAATTATAATATACATGAAAAGATGTAGTTCAAGAATCAGTTTCAGTCAAGATGGCGAGAATCAACATGAAGAGAAGCAGTTCAAGAATCAGTCTCAGAAACAGCAAGAAAAAAGAAAAGTCCGAGAGAAGCAAAAATATATGACAGACTTTATTTACTGGATTGCTGGAGTAGTGGTGATAGTTGTGCTACAACTCTAGAATAGCAAATGTGAGATTCTTTGCGTATAGACTATTTTTGTTTATTTCTATGATATAATTATAATGTGAAGTTGTGATGAGAGACTAGTAAGTTTAGTCCATACATTTAATGTTTATTTTGAATTTCCCGATTTAAAAACTAAAAATGGAGGAAAATAAATTAAAGGAGAAACAATTTATGATAAATATATATGTTTTTGAAAAACAGGAAAAAAATTAAAGAGAAGAAAAATCAAAATTTGAGATCGAAACCAAATTTGCAGTCTAGATGTTAGCACATCTTTACATTTTTTTTTTTTTGTCAACAAATTCCATATATTAAATCAAAGTATACCGATTTGGTGGAACTCGTTACGAATCAACCAGGTCGGTTCATTATGACTTACATAGGAAAAAGAAATACCTCGTGCTCGTGCCTCCTTTGCAAGAGCATCGGCACGGACATTCTGAGTACGCGAGATAAAAAATAACCTAAAAACTCGAAACTTATCCGCAGAAACTCTAAGAAGTTTAACTCTGAAGAAAAGGCTGGCCAATCAGTTGGTTCTTCAACCATCCTGATCAGATCCGAACAGTCTGTCTCGATCCTAGCAGCGGCGTAACCCCGCTCTCTTAGACAGAATAACGCCTAGAGGAGGCCTTCGAACTCTGTATGAAAAGGTGACAAACTCCTCTGGCATCCCTTCATGCCATACGTACGACGACCCCCTTCTTCTTCGAAGCACCACCCCAAGCCACTAGTTGTCCCTTGCTTAATTCAGGACGCGTCAATCTGGCACATCTTTACATTTACATATACATATACATATAATTAAATTGGATACGCATAATATGCTAATTTTACAATTTCTCGTCAGCTGCCTGATTGCTAACTCTCTCGATATACACATTATATTATATATCTATGTAAGCAAAAACAAAAACCTTTTGCATATATATTAAAAATTAAAATATTAGATGAAAGAGCATTGTATTACTGATAACCAGCGTATCAAGTAAGAGCTAATGGGCCTTAAAATGGGCCTTAAATCTGACATCATCTAATGTGCAAGAGGAAACGTCTCGACTAAATCAAACAAACATTTTTCTGCTTTGCCTGCGAAGCTCGCCGTCACCGTTGCCGGATGGATCGACCACCGTCGTTTCCGCACTATCAAAACCCTAATCCGAATTTCTTCCACCAGTGTCCTCCTCTAAATCATAATCCTAATTTCTTCTTCCGACCTCCTCCTCTGCAGAATCCTAACACGTACTCCATCGCTCCGTCTCCGCCGCCGATTCGAGAGCTCTCCGGTACACTCTCCTCTTTGCGATCCCTATTGTCGGAATGTCAGCGCACCTTAGACTCTCTCTCGGAAAAACTAGCTTTAGACCACTCTTCTCTCCTCCAGAAGGACGAGAATGGCGGTTTTGTTCGGTGCCCTTTTGATCCTAATCACCGTATGCCACCAGAATCCCTCTTCCTCCATTCACTTCGCTGCCCAAATCCCATTGACCTCACTCACCTTCTTGGGTCCTTCAGTAGTTACCGGAACACGCTCGAGTTACCATGTGAACCGCAGTTGAATAACGGCGACGGTGACCTCTGTGTCACCTTAGATGACTTGGCCGATTCCGGGACCAATTTCTTCTACAGAGATTGCCCAGGCGCTGTCAACTTCTCAGAGGTCAATGGTAAAAAGCGAACTCTAACACTTCCCAGTGTTCTTCAACCTGTGGGATGCAGCGATTTTGTGGGTTCTGATGAGAAAGAGAAAAAGAGAATATGGTTAGGGCTCTTGCCGTCTGATCTCTGCGCTATAAAAAATGAGATTGGAAAATGGAGAGACTACCCAACTTCGTATTCCTTTTGTCTTCTTTGTGTGATTTTGGGTTTAAAATTGACGGAAACGAGTGAGTTGAGGACATGGATTCTTGTGAATTCCACGAGATATGGAGTTATAATCGATACATACATGAGGGATCATATACTCTTGCTATTTCGGTTGTCTCTGAAAGCGGTTGTTAAGGAAGCTTGTGGATTTATGATGGAGTCTGATGATAATGCCGTTGGCGAGCAGCAGGTTATGAGCATCAAAAGTAGAACATTCGAGTGCGCGGTCTTGGTTCGAGTGTGGTCTTGGTTAGCTTCTCAACTTGCTGTCTTGTATGGAGAAGGAAACGGGAAGTTTTTCGCTCTAGATATGTTCAAGCAGTGCGTAGTAGAATCTGCCTCTCAAATGATGTTGTTTCGGTCTGAAGTAACTAGACCTGAATGCTACGGAGTTCGTCGGGATTTGGATGATGCGAACTCCATCAATAAGAATGTGAAGATGGGTAATTCATTGGAGAAAAATTCAGGCGAGGAAGTCGACAAAACTCAGGTGATATCTGTGTCCCGCGTTGCAGCAGCTGTTGCAGCTTTGTATGAAAGATCCGTGCTTGAAGGGAAAATGAGGGCAATACGATATCCACAACCACTAACAAGATATCAGCGGTAGGTTTGAATCTTTCAAGGGCTATTCTATCTTTCAAATGTTTATCTTAACATTTTTCTATTCTATAGTATTTAAGCATCAATATCATCTTTGGATCTGATTTTGATTACTTGTGATGTCCCTATCAATCTGTAGTGTGGCTGAGCTTGGTGATATGACAGTTAAAGCTGATGAGGAACGGAAAAGACGTCCTAGCTACCGACCTATCATCGATCATGATGGTCTTCCGAGACAACGGTCATCAAATCAGGTTAATACTAAACTTACTGTTATACAACATGAAGGATTCAAGTATTACTATAGGGAACTTTTATTGAAAGTAACCGAGATGTGTATTTTATTCTCTATAACGCGTAGGATATGAATAAAATGAAGACAAGAGAAGAGCTTTTGGCTGAAGAGAGAGATTACAAGCGTCGAAGAATGTCATACCGTGGTAAGAAGGTGAAACGAACGCCTAGACAGGTAAGAAGTGGCTTCCTTTTCCGTGCCTATAATAACCACAAGAGAATGTTTTGCTGCAGAATGGTCAATGTATATTTGGACGAACTCATTAATTTTGTATTCTAAGTGTAGTATGTTTAGGCTCTACTTGTCCTGTTGAAGGCATTTTGCAGATTGTGAGAAAATTGGATGTTGCTAATATCATACTTCCATTTATATAATTAGTTGGCACTGAACTTTCATTATTCTCTTTGAGTGAGTGTTTTCCGTCTTTTGTCCTGTAGGTGTTGCGGGATATGATAGAAGAATTTACAGAAGAGGTTAAGCTAGCAGGAGGTATCGGGTGTTTTGAGAAGGGAATGCCATTACACTCCCAGTCTTCTCTAGGCCACAATCAGAAAGAAAGCGACTTTGGATACAATACTGCATCATCAACATTAGCAGACGCATCGCCCAGATTATATAAGCAATCGAAAGGAGAGAACCGTGCAGACAATGAATATCCAGTGGATTCTAGAACTCATACAGATAAAGGAAAGCGGTATGAGGAGTATGATTCAGGTAGCTCACAGAGACAGCAGAGTCACAGATCATATAAGCACAGTGATCGCAGAAATGATGAATCCACAAGTGCCAAACGACGTAGCCTCGAGAGGAAATCTCATCATCGAAGCCACAGATCATCTCATGAGAAGAATTCTTCAGATTATAGGACCAAAAGGGATGATCCTTATGACCGCTGCAGTCGGGAATCTAGCAGTCACAACTCGTTTGCAGATAGATACAATCCAAAAGAAAGGGAGTGAACTTGAAAGAAGGTAAGTCGTTTTGAAACCATCTCTCTATCTCCTTATTGCCGTGTGGGCTGGTCTGACTCTGAGACGGGGTCGGTTATTCCGATGATCTTGCAGTAAACGTTTACCCGGAGCATTGCCAATTATGTGTGAATCCGTATCCTCTTTTATATCCTTCACCAGAATATTTTACCTTCTTTGATGCATCTATCAAAACCTTTATCTCGGTGATACTCAAGTTTCAAGCTATTTCTCTTGGGTTTATAGATTCACTGTAGTTGTTTAGATTGTTTTCTCCGCTTCTGGCAGGTTGAAGTTATTTTCAAGTATGTTCTTGCTATGAACAGGCCATGAGCCATGTGATTGCTGAGAAGAGATGGGAACTTCACTTGTAATGGTGAGAGAAGACATGTCACCGGTTTAGGTGGTGTAAGCGGGACTGCTATTAGCTTATGGTTTATATCATAGTATCACTGTTACTTAACCAATGTAATTGGTGAAGGAGTGTTATCTTAATGTCACGTACTTCTCTCTTATAAGTTAAACAATAGTGACAAAGAAATTACCCTATAACTGAATGTAAATAATATTTCCACACTTTTCCCGTTATCTGTTAAAAAAAAAAAACATAATTATTTTGTGTTCACTTTCTTAAATTTATATGAAAAAAATACAAGCGATGAGAATTAGGTCACGTGTGACAAAAGAAAACTATGTATTTCAAGACCATTGATCTGAAACACTACCGAAATATATATCGATTGAACCGAAATAAACCGGTAATCCATCAGTAAACCCGAAAAGAATCGGGCCAAGGCACAACGGCATAAAATAGTAGAAAAACTTGTTAAGACCACATATTTCGGTCCCACGAAATCAGAGTCGAACAAGAGCGAAACCCTAACTAGTTTCAGATCATGTCGCCGAACCTGAGATGTGCCGTTGCACAGGTAAAATCAAGAAATTTACAGGGATGGAGATCGATCGGGTCTCGCCGCAATTTCGGTTCATCGACTGGTAAAGTTGTCAGATATATAAGATTGTCGGTTTCGATGTGTTTTATATTCGGAGGGAAACCAAAAAATCCTCTTTAACAAAAAAAAGAAACCAAAAAATCCTTAATTTGTGATTGCAGAGTACATGGGATCAGAAGGCGGGCGAGGTTTTGCACTGATTACGGGATATCTCTTTGGTATGGAGAGAGACACACACACAGGGAGAGAGAGAGAGAGAGTTTATTTGTTCCTTAGAGGAAATTGATTAATATTTTTTGTCGTTTTTGGGTGTTAAGGTTTAGCTGTGCTGGATCGGCCTAACAAGGCGGTTGCTGAAGCTGCTAAGCGAATGGAAGAGGTAATGACAAAATAATGAAGCACACACACTGCTCTTATTATTTCATTTTCATTGTTATTGAAAGTAACCGAGCTAAATAACATATTCTCTATAACGCGTAGGATATGAATAAAATGAAGACAAGAGAAGAGCTATTAGCTGAAGAGAGAGATTACAAGCGTCGGAGAATGTCATACCGTGGTAAGAAGGTGAAACGAACGCCTAGACAGGTATAAATGTCTATTTAAAAAACATAATTTATTAACGTTCACTTCTTAAATTTATTTATATGAAAAAAATACAAGCAATGAGAATTAGGTGACGTGTGACAAAAGAAAGCTATGTATTTCAAGAAGAAACCAAAGACATCACTCTTTTGAAACTCTGGTGACGAAGACGATGAGGAGAGCCATTAATCTTCTCGTCAGAACCATCAATGGCTAATCCTCGACCGCTAAAACACAAATACCTGTTCATAAAAGATGTCTGTTTCTTCATGGCAGGTGTTTTTCTCTCCAATTCGGAAGAAACCGTCTGAAACGGGGACGAGCAAGCCGAAGACGGCGTTCGAGAGTAATCGGAAGCCACCGGAGGCGAAAACACAAACCTCGGAGATTTCTGAACCACCACCCCTTTCATTAACCCTTCTGTGAATTTCAATCTCACCGATAAACTCGGGAGATCGCCGCTCTCTGTTCTCAGCGGAAACGCTCTTCCTCTGTTACGAGACGGCGATCGCGTTCTCGAATACATCTCTCTGAGAGGAACACGACGACTATTGTTATCTCCGGAGAAGCGGCGATTGTCCTCTGACTCTTCTTTCTTCGCCCACCGTAAGAGAAGCTTAAGACGCGCTCCTGTACCACCGCCGCCTCGGCGTTTGCGTTTCGAATGCGTCGATATTTCGGTCGAGCACTCACTGATTCCATCAAAACTCTCTCTTTCTGGGCTTAATTCAGCGTTTGCGATGTTATGATCTGTTCTCGCCGCCGTGAATAGAAATATCTCAGAATCAGATACCTCAAACGAAGTTCCTGGACTGCCGCAGAATCCGTAACGCTCTTCTCGAAACCGTAACACCTTTTCACCGCCGTCGTTGGATCGCCCACCGGAGGATTTAAGCCGTTTGATCAATAAAACAGAAACCGGCGTTCTCGGCGTTTGCCGCTCAAGCAAATCAACGGCAGTCAATCCATCTGAATCAACAACGTTGAGATCAACGCCAGGGATTCTCAGCAGTACCTCAACGACGTCAGGTCTAACGGTGTTAAGAACATCCATCACGGCCAAGTGAACCACGGTTCTTCCGTTACCGTTTCTAACGTTGACTATGTCAGAAAAGTCAACAGACCAGCTTCCTCCTCCTGAGGTTAACTTCTTCAGAAGCTCCATCTGCCGGTCCAACCGCTTAAACCCGGACGCTGCAAAACCAGACACGACCATGTGAAGAAACGTGTCACCTTCATTGTTAACAACGGAGATCAACGGTGGAGATTCGTTTATGAGAGCCTCCACTACAGCTAAATGACCCTTGTAAGCAGCGATATGTAAAGCTGTGTTTCCTTGGCCGTCTTTCACCTCCATTATCGAATCATGCTTCGATACAAGATATTTCACCACCTACATACGTCATCCAAAAATCAACAATACATATACGTAAATACAATTTTCGATTTGTGTTCTTCTTATTAGTTCTTACTTGGATTTGACCTCTGCTAGAGGCAGAATGTAACAGAGTGGAACCGTAAGCATCCCTGAGTCCCGAAACGGCATCGTATTTTCCTGAGAGTAAAAATTCCTCGAGGATTGCCACGTGTCCGCCTCTAGCTGCACTGTGGACCCCTCTTTTAACCATCTCCTCCTTTACTATTAACTGTTTCTCCGTTAGTTTCTCTCCGTCTGTTTCTTCGACGCCGGCGATATCAGCCGGCAACAAAGCGAAGTCAAGGAGAAGACGAAAAACGTCGTCGTTTCTACCTCTCGCCGCCGCGTAGAGAATATCCGTGACGCCGTATTCTCCTTCCCCGAACACGAGAAGCGGATCTCTCTCCAGAAGCTTCTTAACGAATTCCAAATCTCCGGCGGAAGCAGCCGTGTAGAGCAACCAGCCACCGTATCCCGCTCTGATGAGGGAGTTGTCTCCGTTTCCGATTTCGCACTCTTCCAATAACCTCCTCGCGACGCGGGAGCGGTTTAGCGCCACGTGGCATTTATCTCCGTCTCCGTCATCCCAGACGGTTTCGAGGCGGCGGATACGGCGGAGAGAAGTGAGTTTGACGAGGAGGTTCGTGTCTTGGTGAAGAAGCTCGATGACGACGTCGTATAGTCCATTCGCGGCGGCGCAATCGATTGGTGAAGCGTACCACCACTGGTCCCCGGTGCTTTCCCACCGGAGAGGAAATATCGGCGGTGGCATTTTCTCTACCCGGTTTAGATAATTAACCGGGTCTTCTACGGTTTTTGCAGACCAAAATGAAAGAACCTCAAAGAAAACAGAGCATTTGTAGGGGAAATCTCAAGAAAACAGAGGAAGAAGATTACAAAGATGAATTTGAATGGTTTAAAATTAATGGAGACTTTTTACAATGAACACAAAGCGATGAAGCAGAAGACAACAAAAGGGAGAAGCCTTGAAGATTGTGTTGTTGTGGCGAAGACAGAAACTTTTGCGTGTTTTCACCAGAAAAATATTGAAATTTTTTTTTTGGGCGCATCGAAAAATATATTGATTCCATTCCCGTGAGTGGACCATATATCCGACGGGATTTTATCTTTTGTTTTTATTTTTTAATGTGTTATATCATTTGTACTTTATTCTAAATATTTCTGAAAAAGGCACTTGATTTTCCGGAAAAAGAATTATGTGAAAGAATTTTAAACTGCTGCAAGAATTTTTTGTTACGCTTTTTTCGAGAGTAGTAGTACTAGAGTACTAGTACACATATCAGAATCGCGCTTTGTTAATCATTTTCTTTTTAAAAAAAAACTAAAACTAATCCTCTTTTTCATTTCTAAAATACAAAATCTGGAAATATATATATCTTTACCGAAAATGACTAACAAAGCACTAGTTCGGAATTTGGATAAGAGAATTTATAAAGAGGAAGCAATAATTGAATGATGTTTCATCTAATTAGACGCGTCGCTCGTTTGGTTGAAGCAGGGCGTTGGGATATTAATATTAGTAGGTTTGTACTTTATGCGCAATCAGCGACATGTAAATGTAAATGGTTCTATAACTTCTAAATAATCAGGATTTTTTTCGATAAAAAAAACAAAAAAAAATTGCCCACTTGCTGGTGGCTTAAAACTTGAGGGCCCTAAAATAATAATATCAAGGGTTCAATAATTCAATAAATGTGCATAATGATATGTAGTTAAAGCTTAACCGTCATTATGAGATTGAAGAAGACTATTCAATTTTATGAAAAACAAATCCAAAAAAAATATAGTTTAAGTTTTGTTTTGGGTAATATGGATCTACCTTTCTGTCGGTGTGGAGTGTGGACGCACCCAAATGCACATGTACAACATGTATGTATGAGTCACTAAACTCAATGCTTGTTTTTCTTGGATCCCCACCTTATGTAAACTCTCATAAATTATTCTGAAGCCTGGCAAAACTCTGGATCTTGAGACGTCTCAACTAAGAAACACTTACAGAGATTGGAGTCAAAGCCGACAACAAACACCAACTTGATTAAGATTGTGTCAGAATCAATAAACTCCAGCGTTGCAACAAATCTTCCTGCATTTGAAGTTGGACTTTCTTATAGTACTCTGATCTACGTTACAATGTGGTTGAAGGAAGAAAACAACGAACATATTGATGCACGATCTGGTCTTGTCTTCTTTCTCAAGAATTGTAATAACTAATAACCCTCACTTTACAGGGGCAGAAAGTTTGACAGTCTTCATGATGTGTTCGATTCTCTCGGCGGATTCATTCATATGCTTCTTCTTGACCTCTTCCAAGAGCAACAAACAAGTCCTGTGCCTCGGTGTGATATCTTGGCTAATCATCTCTTCGAAAAGGGAATACGCCCACTCACACATATTAGCTCTGCAAAACCTCTGTATCAGAAAAGTATAAGTTGATTCATCGAGGCTGAGATGATGTCTAGTCACCATTTCTTTCAATAACCTCCCGACCTCAACAACGTCTCCTCTCTTAAAGCAAGATCTCAGCAACGAGTGATACGTGTGAACATCGGGATCACAAAGCTTCGAACTTTCCATTTCCCTGAGAAGCTCAACGGCCTTCTCTTCCTCATCGTGATGACAGTACATAGCAATCATGGAGTTATAGGTAGACGTATTTATGCAAACGCCAAGCTCAGGCATCTCAACTCTGAAAACCCGCTCGGCTTCTTGTAACCGACCAGCTCGAGCAAGTGTGTGAATCAAACAGTTGTAGAAGAGAGTATCGGGTTCACAACCTGATCTTTTCATCCTCGTAGCAACCCGTAAAGACTCCTCAAACTCTTTCTGAGCATTAAGGGAAGACATAATAGTTGTGTACGTAATCGAATTCGGAGGAGACCCATTAGCTTCCATTTCACTCAGAATCTCATAGACCTTGATGAAGTCAGAGTGCTGGCAATAACACCTTATGATCGTCGTGTAGCTGATAACACAAGGACGAAACCCGTGGCCTTTCATCTCTTGGATCGTCCAGAGAGCTTCCTCGACTCTATTGGCCTTGCACCAACCGTGAATGAAGATGTTAAACGTGTGGGCATTTGGCGTGATGTGTGACTTGAGCTCTAACAAAACTGCCCGAGCCTGCTCGACTCTCTTCTCCTTGCACAGCGTATCGAGCAGCAGATTCATCGATTCCGTGTTCTTCTCCAACCCAAATCCACCCAAACTGTCGAATATCTTGACTGCTTCTTCCCATTCCCCTGCACCAGCAAATCTCCTCATGATCTTAGCGATCGTATTCAAGGTGACGAGCTTATCTCTTCTCATCATCTCCACAAACTCCTTCATACGATCCCATTTCTTGGCCTTGCCGAGAATATCAACCGCCATATCGAAAGACTCATTCGAATGTTTGTGCCCTTTACAAGACTCGGCCCATTTCAAAACACCGAGCGCAGATCTCCAGTCATCTCTAAACCTGTGGAGCAGCTTATGAACCAAACCATCTGAGAGATTTACACTGTTACAGACTTCATCGTTTGATAGACGATGAAACACTTCGTCTTCGCTGACTCTATCACCGACTCTACCTACGATAACGTTCCATATCTCCTCAGACTGTGAAGACTCATCAAGCGATTCAGGCAATCTTTCCGAAGCTGTAGAGAGATTCTCGATGAGCGCGGAGGAAAGAGCGATAGAAGCCGGAGGTTTGAGGCGTAACAAGGTGTCTCCAATGCGATTCCGAACAAGCCAAGACATGATAAATCTAAAAACACCCAGATTAAAAGGCGTTGTCCCTTGATTTCGGACAATACCAGTGAGAACAGGTAATAAAAAAAAGAGCCGGAAAATCGAACTCGCACCTGAAACCTGAGCAAAGGGAAATCGTGAAAACCGACGGCGGCCGTCTAGCCGGAGAGAGTTGACAAGGAGGAGTAATAATCGCTGAGAATGGAACTTAAGTGGACCGAATGCTACGGTCCATTAAGAGCCCAAATTTAATTACTTGATAAAAATCTGAATTCGAACCGTAATTCGCAAAACCGAACCGAGGGATTGTTCAATTTTCATCCGGTTTGTATTGGTTTGGTTATAAAAGACGCCGGTGGAATGATACTATAACGATGGCCGGTCACCTGACACTGGGCTGGGCTATATATAACGTTTTGATGGATGGGGGTTATTTTCTATGAAGTTGATGCTATGGCTCATTAAGTTAACTTGACAAGGAGTAATAATCGCTGAGAAAGGGACTTAAAGTGGACCGAATGCTATGGCCCATTAAGAGCCCGAATTTAATTACTTGATAAAATTCTGAACTCGAACCGCAATACGTAAAAACCAAACCGAAGGATTATACCTGACACTGAGCTATATAACGTTTTGATGGATGGGGGTTTGTAGATAAGGCCGTATAAGTGTGGCTTACACATGCTCTACTTAGCTCGACGGAACTCGTCTGACCTTGAACATATTGTTTGTCTCACATTTAGCACTAATATAATCAATGCTGTGTGCAAACAAGGGAAGGCTGATGTAGCGAGTGCGTTTGATGCTGAGAAAAGGAGTTATTCTGTACACGGACTCACTATAGAGTCTAGGAATAGAATAATCAGTGGTTTAAGAAACATTTCAGGGATCAACTTTTGATCTAGGTAATAAAGGGACTAAAAGAGAAAGCAATAAAAATATGATAAACCATAAGCAACTCAATACATCAAAAGCGAAACGGCATTTTGTTAAACAACGGGTCTACAAACTCTCATCACCTCAAGTGAAGGAGATTCGCCAAAAGCCAAAAACACAAAAGCGAAGAGTTTTCTATCTCAAGAAAATTTATTTTAAAAAAAACGGACAAGTTGCAAAATACAGACTTGCTCCTCCCCAACACTCGAGAGTTTCTTCTGAGCTTTAGGCCTTTGACATGTGAACGATCAAGTCCACCACACGGGTACTGTAACCCCATTCGTTGTCATACCACGACACCAGTTTCACGAAGTTGTCACTCAACGCAATTCCGGCCTTGGCGTCAAAGATGCTCGACCTGGAACAACAAAAATTGTTTAGAATTACGAAATTGAATGTGCATGTGCTTATACTATGCGTAATTAGTTATTGCTATTTCAGTACCTGCTATCACCAACGAAGTCAGTTGAGACAACATCATCCTCGGTGTAACCAAGGATTCCCTTTAGTTTGCCTTCTGATTCCTCCCTGCGTATATTTGGTAACAATCCAGCCAGTAAGTTATCTTACAACGAGAAATGATGAAACTACTGATGAAACTCACTGCAACCGAAATGCTTACTTGATGGCCTTCTTGATCTCATCGTAGGTTGCAGCCTTCTCGAGTCTGACGGTAAGGTCAACAACTGAAACATCAACGGTGGGAACACGGAAGGACATTCCGGTCAACTTTCCGTTGAGTTGTGGAAGCACCTTTCCGACGGCCTTGGCAGCTCCGGTGCTGCTGGGAATGATGTTGAACGATGCAGCTCTTCCACCTCTCCAGTCCTTCATTGATGGACCATCAACAGTCTTCTGAGTCGCTGTATTCACAAACCAAACCCTCTATTAGGTCAGAGTTTCCACTTATAAGCAACCAGTTTTGTAGTACATGTATTAAAGATTGAGAAAATCTTACCAGTGATAGAGTGGACGGTAGTCATAAGACCCTCAACAATTCCAAACCTGTCGTTGATAACCTGTGAGGAAGAAACCCAAGAGTGGAAATCGGGTAAGCAAAACTATTCGATATTCGAAATACAGAGTCAGATTGGTTTTTAGACTAGGAGATATTTTTACCTTGGCAAGGGGAGCAAGGCAGTTAGTGGTGCAACTTGCGTTGGAGACAATGTTCAGGTCGGACTTGTATTCGTGCTCGTTGACACCAACCACAAACATGGGGGCGTCCTTGCTCGGGGCAGAGATGACAACCTTCTTGGCACCTCCCTGAACAACAATGACACCAAAATCACTCATCAGTTGAAAGATCTCACCACATACAGGAATACGTTAGTGAATAGATCTACTAATTATTGATACCAACATGCTTAATCATATGATCCAACAAGCAAATAATGGCATATAGCATCCAAAGCAAATAAAACAAACCTTCAAGTGAGCAGCAGCTTTGTCCTTGTCAGTGAAAACACCGGTAGACTCAACAACGTAGTCAGCTCCAGCCTCACCCCATGGGATATCCTCAGGGTTCCTTCACAAATACAAATCCCTTTTAAGATCCAATTTCTCATATCAAAGTGAACAGAAAAATACACAGAGAGAATAACCAGGTAGATGTACCTGATGCCGAATACAGTGACTGGCTTCTCACCGAAGAGAAGGGTCTTCTCGTCCTTGACCTTGAGTTCATTGTGTTTCCATTGACCGTGAACACTGTCGTACTTGAACATGTAGGTCTGCAGCGATCATACACAGAGAGTAATCAATTACTTCGCTACACCTCTACTTAAACCATGTAAAGAATCTGATCAGCTAATCAAAACTTATAAAACACTCAACTAAGCCAGCTTCTGCATTTGAGTACTCAATAAAAAATCATCTAGACACTCAAAAACACACATGCGCAAAGGTGACAATATAGAGACGATCCATTTTTCAGCTCCGACGAAATCAAAGCGATCAGAACCACCAAATGAATCTCATAAATCAACAGATCGAAACGATCATAAACGTGAATGACAGTCGAAGGAACGAACAAACCAAGGAAGGAAACAAACCATGTACTCAGTGGTGATGAACGGATCGTTGACGGCGACGAGCTCAACATCGTCCCTCTGAAGAACAACTCTAGCGACCAAACGACCGATTCTTCCGAATCCTAGCGATTACAGAAACCAAACGTCAGATTCCGCAGATCTAGAGATAGACGAAAGCTAATAAACCAAAACAAAACAAAAAAAATCAATCAGAAACTCACCGTTGATACCGATCTTAATCTTAGCGCCAGCTACAAACAAAAAAAAACAAAGGCGGGATCAGAAAACGATAAGATCAGAAAACGAAACATCGTAAGCAGCAGCGACGAGAGAAGAGATGATCCAATATAAATCAACAAAGGCAAGAGACTCACTCATTGTCGATTCAAAGACGCGAGAGAGAGAGATTGAGAGATGAGATTAACAGAGAGAAGGGCTTTTACACAGTGAAAACTGGTGAGTGAGTGGGGGGATCCGTGAAGAGGTGTATTTAAAAGAGCGAAGAACGTGATGAAGGGGGTCGGAAAGATCTAGTGGTGGAGAGTTTTTCTTGGGAAAAAAGTCAGATCTGATTCAATATTTTCTTAAACAAAAATGACCGAATTACCCAGGGACACTTCACCATATTTACCGTTGTTAGCCACGCTATTTCGCCAAATGTCGTCACCCCTGACTCCGTGATTAGGAAATAATTGAGGGGAGTCATAGCGACTGCATCTCACGCGCTCTACTAGAAGATTCTTAAAACAAGTACATAGGTCAAAACGCAGCGCATTTGTGAATGCTGTTGTTAGGCTGCCACGAGTTCATACAGGCCCATTTTAGTAGACGGTTTCAATTTCTAGAAGGTAAACGCCCCAACTAATAAAGTCCACAAGAAATATTATTCTTTGCTTCTTTCATATGAACTCTTCTTAAATGAATCTTTTAAAAACAGTATAATATTTTTTTGTCTTAATCAATAAACAGTTGAATAAAAAAATGACAACTTTTGTACATGTAAAATGATTTTTTTTTTTTATAAAATGACGACAACTTTTGTTTAACAACATTACGATGACAAATGAGTTTAAACTATGAAAGCCCCATAAGACAAGCAAAAAATGATACTGATTATATCTAGGGGTGGCCCATATTTCATAAGATTTTAATTCAAGATTATATATCAAATTTTAGTTTTAAAAATTTATTTCTATAGATTTTACATTGAATTATTCAACATATAGTTTTAATTGTTGGCAATAAATTGTTTGTAGTAATATTATATATAGATATGTTTCTCTTTTTGTGTTAATTAAATGTATTTCTTTAAGAAGTTAAGTAATCATATTATTATCAAATCATCAAAGTATATACATATGTGTAGTTTTAAATGTTTATAAGAAAATGAAAAAGTATAAAAATTGTGATATCAATGTATAGATATGTTTCTTTTTTGTTGTTGTTAATTAACTACACGTGGTATAACTATAATTTTGAGAAAATTGAGAAAAATAAACATTAATGACTTCGGTGTACACTAGTAGAAGCTTTGAAGTTTGGTGAATATCTCTCGACGAATATGAAGGAGATGCAGGGCGAGTACAATAGCGTGAGCAACACCCGCAATGATGAACAAACCGCGCAACTCACGGAAGGTGAAGCGCTTAGAAGCATCGTCATCCTCGTTGGGAGATGCAACACCGTTACCGTTGGAATGTACATTCAGTGAATCCAGCTTCTGAAACCATCTTTTCTCCATGTCTTTCAGAGCTCCCAATGACCTTAGCTTCGCGATTTCTTGCGAAATTTTAGGAGCCAAACCTGAACCTTTCTGGAACATCTGAAAATTTAAACACATAACTTAGTAAAAAAAAATCAAAAAAAAAAAAAATGAAAATTTGAGGAGAGGCACATACAAAGCCAAAGCCGTTGGTACTAGTCTCTCTATCCGTCATTACGAAAACATCCGGATAGTATCCAAGAAGGAGACTGAGATACGGTATCTCATTGATAACGTGACTGAGAGTTCCATCTCGTAAACCTTGAGCATAGGCCTCAACTGCATTAATGGACCCGAGCTTCATGCTTAACGTCGTGGAGGCGAAGACCGCCTGATGGTCTAGTTGTATGCGAGAAATGGTCTTGGTTGATGTCAAATTTGCGCTATAACTTGAAGTCAATATCAACACCACAAATACCCAAACTATGACTAAAAATCTTGATGACATTTTTTGCAGCTTCTCTCCTGCTCAAGAATGTGCCCATTAGTATACCAAAAGGATAGCATTATATGAGATTAATCTAGAGTCATAACGTACACTTACTGTGAGCAAAGACAATGGTAGAGAATCCAAACCAGAGCATCATACTAATTTGCTGACCCCAAGAGCCCTGAAATTCCGGATTAACGGACCGTTCGACCAACCAAACAACAATTCCAGTCAAGATGAAGAAAGCTCCACTCGCTAGCCACAAGGATTTCTCAAAAGGTTCAAAGAAAGTCCACATGCCTTGGCTTTTCTTCTTTACTGTCAAGATTCCAATACCAATGTCTGTGAAAGGCAAAGTAAAGTCAACGTACGAAGATCTGTTGGAAGTGATGGTGATATCACCAACAGCTGCATCGTATTTGTCTTTCTGTCAAAACAAACACATTATTAGAACATACATACATATACCATGTTCTTTTGACTATATAGTTATGCATTTGCGTAACACACCTGAGTAGAGAGTAGATAAGCAAGATTGTCATTGTTCCCAGTATAAGGTATGAATTCTAGCTGGTAGTTATAAGGAGCAATGCAAGTCTTGAAAACTTCTATGCAGAATCCAGTGACTGTATTAACACCTGTTTCAGGGTCAAGACGCACCGACACTAGATTCGGGACTTTGTTTCCTGCGGGAACTAAGACCCTAAGCAACTTCTTCTGATCACCATTCTCTGCCAAAAACCGGTGTCTTGAGATTCCACTAGGCATGATGGTGGTCTCAAGTTCATTGGTGGAAGAAGCCATGATGCTTCTTTTACTATCGCAACTCCATAGTCCTATTCTTCTCTCCCCTGTTCCAACCATAGTCACAATCTCAAATGTCCCTGAGGATTGAATCTTGTTGCCAACAATTCTGATGTCATTATGGCTCAAACCCTTAAATCTGATCTGCCTAATAGTCTCAAGAAGATTCGATACATTTGCAGATGTTCTTAGACTCATCTTCTCTACTGCGGTTGCAAGAATACAAGCGACGTCTTGTGCCCATACACTAGAATGCTCTGTTTCCATAAAGGCATTCACGTGATCACCAGCAACTAGTTTTCTCAATCTTGAAGTAAAGTTCTTAACTTCTGCTGATATTGGAATGCAGGATCTGAAACCAATCACCTCTTGCATCGACGGTACTGCAAAATGATCCGAGTAATGAACATGATCCATGGTTCTTGCGGTGAGAATCCAAAGATAGCCTTGTTCCATCAGACCTAACTTCTCCGCACATTGTAAGAGACGAGAAACAAGAATCTCGGACATATGCACCACGAAAACGGCTGCGTTTGCGGTTTCAAGCTTCCTTAGCCGATTCATCATATCATTTTCTACTGATGATGATGATTCCACGAAAGAAGCAATACGATCGATGTGAAGCCCTTCATCTTGAAAATTCTCCACCAGTATTTGCAGACTCTCTCTCCAATCATCAACATCCTCGTACATAACTACAACCGATGTCCGATTAAAATCATGTATCAGACTCGTAATCCCCTTAGCCTCTGTTACAGGATCGTGCGTCAACTGAAGAAAGTGATGGTATTCGTTCAAAGACAACTGATTTGGCACGGCGGTAGATATTACCGGAACTTTAGCCTTTTCGCTAACCGCCGCCAAAAGCTTTGCTTCTTGTGATGTTTGTGCACCAACAACAATGGCTTCCACTTTTGCATTTCTTAGAAGATTTGTAGCTGTTTTATTCAGGAACAAAATGACGAATAAAATCTGCGAATTTTCGAGAAATTCAAACTAGTTTGACGGAAAAAAAAGGAATGAAACTGAAACTCACCGGCGGCAAGGGCAAGGATAGGATCCCCTTGGGAGTCTCTGGCTAAAACAGAGACTCTGGTTCGATATCCGGTGTTGATTCGATAAAAATCTGAAAGCGCCAAAGTAAATGAAGCTTCCAGAATCTTTCCTTGCGTAGAACCCAAGTCCACCACCAATCCAACCCCAACCTCTTCCAAAACGCTGTCGTTTCGATCAGCTATTCCGGATTTGATCGTCGAACAGAGAAGAAGCATAAAAATGAAAAGCGAAATCTGAATCTCCATTATTTTTGTATCGCTGTACCGGTCGCTTTGATTTATAAAAAAATGGTGTTTTCATATGTATTGGATTTTTTTTTTCTTTTCTTGTCGTTATCATTTCAAATCAAATCATTATACTATATAATAATATATTACAGAGTCAAAGTCAATGCTAACGGTTCATGGACAATGGACATCATCAACTTCCAACTTGCTTTATAATTAAGGAGCAAACAAATTCGAGACAATTGTTGACTAGCAAATATGAAACAGAAATGAACTTAGTTGTTATTCATGGATTTGGTGAAGAGACGAGCATCCGGCAAAAAAAAAGCAGTGGCAAGAGAAATCAGAATCCTCAATAACGTTCGCTTTGACTTACAAAAAAAATGGTATTGGATTTATTTATTTTTGCTTCGTCAAATGTATCAGATTTATTTTCTATATAAATAGTGGCAAAGTATGTTAGTTAACTAGAAGATAAACACTAGTAGATTATTAGTTAATGCACCATTTACGGCTACAAGTAGAACAGACCAGTCACCATACGAAATGACCAAGACCACCACCGTGGGCCGCCTACTCTCCTTCAATCTTCAACTTTTTCCCCCTTCAATATAAGTTGGAGCATCAACAAAAGTCAGTAAAATCAAAATGAGAAATCAGATTCTTTTCTTTTTCGTTTCCATTTTTTCCCTGTCATAACTCCATTTATCTCCTTCATTATAAAGAAAAACTTGCCTTAGATAGCCTCTTCGACCTCCTGGGATTGCTCCGCATTTGGTCCTTTTCGACATCTTTCAACATTTTTGCCTACAAATGTAATGTTTGTAGCATCAACAAAAGTCAGTACTGAATCAAAATGAGGCTGTATATTTGGAGTCATAGTTAGGATTTTCTTTACTTTCGTATTCTTCCTCGCCTTAGCTTCTTGTTCTGCAGCCAGTAGAAACTTATGCTCCCTCGCTTCATATTCCAATTTCATCTTAAAAAATGTGGAGAAAGAAAGAAAAACATGGGGTCAAATTTTGAGAAAGGGAAACTATAGACAATGGCAAATGTATTGAGAGAGGAAGCAAGGATGCTTACTTCCTCTGCATGTTCGGGACTGTCGAGATGAGTGGTGAGATCTTCAAAGCCAGGGCCATCAAATTCGCATAATTCACAAGAAAACATGTGACCGCCCATGACCAGTCCTCTTGTCTCCTCGGCAGACCCTGAATCTGGAAAAATCACAAACTCAGCTGCTTGCTTAATCCTAGTTAAGAAACAAAAAACACCGACCTTTGAGTAAGCTATCCCTATTCCAGAGCCACTCTCCACAAATGACTAGCGATGGAGGGTGTGGATTTTCAGGTTCACTATGTGGTGGATATGCCACAAGAAAATTGTATCCATGACGACTCTCGCAAAGGTATTCAGTAGTGGATTCCACTAGGACGCAACTGGATATGACCATTATTGTCACCGGAGGTTGCTTGATACTTTCACAATTCAAAAAATCCCACCAAACGCTCGTGCTGCCTGGAAAGCACAAGCCAGTTTAATCTAAACCCTAATTTATTGAAGTTAAACTTGATTTTGGGTTAAGCTTAATTTTGGGTTTATAAAATAATTATTAGTTATTAGATTAGACCCAAAATTAAGCTCAAGTTCTAGAATCTCTAGAAACATCACTAAAAATCATCATCTTTCTTAAATGTTCTAGAGAATTCTATTAGTTAAATATCTAGATAATTCTATAGATAATTCTAGATGTTGTAGTTAAAATTCTAGATATTATTGTAGAAAATTCTAGAGATTAGGAGAATGTTTGTAAGATATTTTGTAATAAGTGGAGCCTATAAATAGCCCACTACTCCATCATTTGTAAACAAGAGAGAAGTTGAACAAATAAAGAAAGAGTGTTCTTCATAAGTTCTCTTATCCTCTCTAAAGTTTCTTCAAGTTTTCTCTAAGTATTCTTTCATCTTATTATTCATACTTAGAGGGTCTTTGTTTCTTTCGGATCTCTCGGGTATTACGGTCTTGGGCTAGTGCTTGGCACTATCGGTGTTTTCTTTACATGGTATCAGAGCCATTCTGATCTGGTTCTTTTTCAAGATCGGATTAATTGAGATCTCAGATTTACTCTAAGTATGGAGTCAATGGGTCGCGTTGTTGGGTTGGGAATAGAGATTCTAAACCAATCCAATTACCGGTTATGGAAGTCATGCATGGAGTCATACTTGGTGAGTGAGGACTTATGGGATGTCGTCGGCGGCAGTAGCACAACACCACCAAGGGGAGCTGCTGCTGCGACAGCGGAAGCGACAAAGGAGTGGACACGGAAGAATGCCAAGGCGGAGTTTGCATTGAAGAGGTCAATATCCTCGGGAGTCTTTGAGCATGTCTCAAGTTGCACATCCGCTAGTTCCATTTGGCAGGCGTTAGATCAGTTGTTCAACAAGAAGAATGAAGCTCGGCTACAACTGTTAGAGAACGAGTTGGCGAATGCAAAGCAGGGGGAGTCTTCAATCTCAGAGTTTTTCATCAAGGTAAAGAATCTTCGCTCAGAGATTAATATTCTAAATCCGGAGGAGTCAATTTCCGAAGCACGTTTAAAACGGTATATTATTCGAGGTCTACGACCTGAGTATACACCGTTTGTGACTTCGGTTCAAGGATGGGCTACACAACCTTCCTTGGAGGAGTTCGAGAACCTGCTAGCTTCGCAAGAGTCATTAGCTACGCAAATGGCAGGAGTCAAAATCCATGATGACTCGGGGGCGCGCCTTTGTAGCTCGGAAGCAACACAACTTCAAAGCCAAATCCAAATACGATGGTGCAAAGAACATCGATGGACCGGAAGGATCTTCTACTGGAGATAAGAAGCGATTCAAGTGCTACCGGTGTGGAAAGCTTGGGCACTTCAAAAAGGATTGTCGAGTCAAGCTGAAGGAGACAAATATGGCAGAATCAAAAGGTCATATTGAAGACGAAGAATGGGGGAAATGCTTCACGGTGGAGGCTGCATCTTCAGGTATATCCACAACTAAAAATCTTGAAAATGATTGGATTGTGGATTCGGGTTGTAGCCACCATATTACCGGAGACGAGAAGCTATTTTCTAGTCTTCAGCGCCATGATGGAAAAGAAGCCATAATTACCGCGGATAATTCAGTTCACCGGGTCGAGAAGGAAGGGACTGTTGTCATTGAAGGAGAAGATGGAAGCCCTATCACCCTCAAGAATGTATACCATGTCCCTGGAGTAAGGAAGAATCTTCTCTCTGTGGTGAATGCAGTAGACTCAGGTAACTACGTTTTATTTGGCCCAAGAGACGTCAAATTCTTGAAGAATATTAAAGAGTTAAAGGCGGATGTGGTTCACACCGGATCGCGGGTTAAGGATCTATATGTCTTATCTGCGTCCAACTCATACGTGGAGAAGATGAGTACAAACGACAATGCCTCTATATGGCATGCTCGGCTTGGTCATATAAACATGACTAAGCTAAAGGTTATGGTGAATAAGGAGTTGGTAAATGGGCTTCCGAAGCTGAAGATCCAAGATGAAGGAAAGCTTTGTGAAGGTTGTCAATATGGAAAATCACATAGACTTCCATTTGACAATTCTACTTCACGGTGCAGTGCTCTGTTGGAGAGGATCCATAGTGATTTGATGGGTCCTACAAGAACACCCTCATATTCCGGGTTTCGGTACATGTTGCTGTTCATTGATGACTTCTCACGACACACTTGGGTATACTTTGTGAAGGAAAAATCAGAAGTATTCTCCAAATTTCAAGAATTCAAGGTTACCGTGGAAGGGGAGCTGGGTCGGAGAATCAAGACCTTAAGGACAGATAATGGAGGGGAGTTCATGTCCAAGGAGTTTCTCTCTTTTTGTCAAAACCATGGAATAAAGAGAGAGTTTACTTGTCCGTATACACCTCAACAAAATGGAGTAGCGGAAAGGAAGATTCGACATCTAACTGAGACGTGCAGAAGCTGGCTATATGGGAAGGATCTGCCTAAAGCCTTGTGGGCGGAAGGCATGAGATGCGCAGTGTACGTCATAAATCGGATGCCACTCAGCCCAAATAACATGAAGTCTCCGTATGAGATGATTCATGGGAAGAAGCCGTCAGTGAAACATCTCAGGATATTTGGATCAGTCTGCTACGTCCATGTGTTTGATTCTCAAAGAACCAAGTTGGAGGCAAAGGCGAAGAAGTGCATCTTTGTTGGCTATGACGAACAAAGAAAAGGGTGGAGGTGTATGGATCCAGAGACACACAGGTACGTAGTGTCTCGAGATGTTGTTTTTGATGAAGTTTCCTCATTCTATGGGCCACCTCAAGTTTTAGTTGAGCAAGAAGGTGGGAGTTCCTCCAAGAGTGATAAACCAGCTCTGAGTAAGGAAAAAGGTCCTGAAGAAGAGATGCAAGGTGAAAGGGGGAGCACTGATCAAGAGGAGGATGAGGAGGAACATCATGGTTCCACGGCTAGTCAAAGGCCTAAAAGGGACATCATTAAACCTGCTCGGTTCAGAGATCCAAAGTTTGTTACTACCTTCTCGTGCTACTTTGCAGCTCCATTAGATGAAGATGAGCCAACATCTTATGATGAAGCAAAAGGTGTTGACGAGTGGGAAAACGCAATGAAGGAGGAGATGAATGCTCTCATGAAGAACGAAACTTGGGATTTGGTTCCAAAACCCAAGAATGCCCAACCTGTTTCTTGTAAATGGGTGTACCGGATCAAGCGCAAAACAGATGGAAGCGTTGATAGATTCAAAGAAAGGTTGGTTGCTCGGGGATTCTCTCAAAAGTATGGAGAAGACTATGATGAGACCTTCAGCCCTGTAGCCAAGATGACTACGGTACGTTCTCTCTTATCTTTGGCTGCAAGTTTTGGTTGGAAGTTATGGCAATTAGACGTGAAGAATGCTTTTCTATATGGAGAGCTTGACAAGGAAATCCTGATGGAGCAGCCACTTGGTTTTATATCACGAGAGCATCCTGATTATGTGTGTAAGCTGAAGAAGGCCTTGTATGGGTTAAAACAAGCTCCACGAGCCTGGTATGGAAAGCTTGCTCAGTTTCTTCAGTTCTGCGGTTATGTGGCATCAAACTCTGATCCGAGTCTATTCTTCAAGAAGAATGGAGGAGTCCACGTGGTAGTTCTCCTTTACGTGGATGATATGATAATTACCGGGAATGATGATGCAGAAATTACTCGTTTACAAGAGGATATGTCGATAAGGTTTGAGATGAAGAAGTTGGGAGAGCTCAACAACTTTCTCGGTTTGGAGGTGGAAAGGGTAAAGGGTGGAATATTCATCGGCCAACAAAGCTATGCAAGAAGAATCATTGAGAAGTTTGGAGTACACGAAGGAAAGACACGCTCTACTCCAATGGATGTCAACATAAAGCTTAAACGCGATGAAGGGTCCTTACTACCTGATCCTCGGCCTTATCGCTCTCTTGTAGGAAGTCTTTTATACTTAACCATTACAAGACCTGACATTGCCTTCGCGGTAGGTCTTGTAAGTCGGTTTATGCAGGCACCAAGGAAGCCACATCTAGAAGCGGCAAAGAAGATATTGAAGTATGTGAAGACAACTCTTGGCATAGGTCTGGTGTACAAGTATAATGCCAAGGTCTCTCTTTATGGCTTCACGGATGCTGACTTTGGTGGAGATCTTGATGATCGGAAATCAACTTCAGGCTATGTTTTCCTATGTGGGAACACAAGTGTCTCATGGTGCAGTAAGAAGCAAGCAACGGTGTCGTTATCTACAACTGAAGCAGAGTATAAAGCGTCAACTCTAGCAGCTCAAGAGTGTATTTGGCTTCAGAGACTCCTTGAAGATCTGTTCGAGCCAATCAATAAGCCAATTGCAATTTATGGAGATAATCAAAGTGCGATCAAGCTGGCCAATAATCCGGTGTTCCATGGGAGGACTAAACACATTGAGTTAGAGCATCACTTCATAAAAGAGAAGGTGCTTGATGGGACAATTGAAGCTTTGGAAGTTCAAAGCGAGGACAACGTTGCGGATATCTTCACCAAGTCATTACCAAAAGGTCAGTTCGAGTTACTTTGCTCGAAGCTCGGGATGACTGACAAAATCAAGTTTAAAGGGGAGTATTGAAGTTAAACTTGATTTTGGGTTAAGCTTAATTTTGGGTTTATAAAATAATTATTAGTTATTAGATTAGGCCCAAAATTAAGCTCAAGTTCTAGAATCTCTAGAAACATCACTAAAAATCATCATCTTTCTTAAATGTTCTAGAGAATTCTATTAGTTAAATATCTAGATAATTCTATAGATAATTCTAGATATTGTAGTTAAAATTCTAGATATTATTGTAGAAAATTCTAGAGATTAGGAGAATGTTTGTAAGATATTTTGTAATAAGTGGAGCCTATAAATAGCCCACTACTCCATCATTTGTAAACAAGAGAGAAGTTGAACAAATAAAGAAAGAGTGTTCTTCATAAGTTCTCTTATCCTCTCTAAAGTTCCTTCAAGTTTTCTCTAAGTATTCTTTCATCTTATTATTCATACTTAGAGGGTCTTTGTTTCTTTCGGATCTCTCGGGTATTACGGTCTTGGGCTAGTGTTTGGCACTATCGGTGTTTTCTTTACATAATTAATACAAGAAAGAAAGAAATAGAGAGAGATAAGAGAAGATTAACCGCTTCCAACGTGTTTAATAACGACTCCAGTGTCAGCGAGCGCTCGCAGGAACTCATGAGGGATTCCTTCCAGGTCGCCCATCGCAATGATTGTGAGCGGACCATTGTACCCTAATTTCTTCAACTCCGTGTCTATTCTCGGACCGAGCCGACTAGGGTCGTAACCATTCGGTACCGGACAGTCGTCCATGTCCCACCACACCAACGTCTTAGAGTTCGCGAACTCAGGTGTCGCCGCCGCTCTGTTCTTCATCATCTTTGAAAAACCTAACCAGACGCGAACATTTTTCAAAATTTTCTCTCCGAGCATCTTTATCGGTTCGTCCCTAATATAGCGTCTTTTAAATATATTTTATTAATAAACAAAAATAAACTAATTAGATGATGATATTTGGCTATATACCGTTTTTTGCATCACTCAAATAAGCGACGCCTTTCTATCTCTCTCTTTCCTTCTTATTATTTTATATTTTTTTAATTATGAAAACACGATCGTATCTAAATTAGATACGATCGATGGAGATGGTCTAAAAGCGAAGCGGGTTTTTTTCTTAAACATTTTACTTTGTGGGCCTACTTAATGGGCTATTAAGTTGTGGACTTTTTGATAATCATTAGGAAAAAGATAAATCCTTTTAAACAAATATCTCGAGGCTTTGATTGGTTGCGTTAATAGAAGTAGATTGTACAACATAATACAGTATTTTCTTAATTAGAATGATATGGTATTTGGTCCGGAAATATATATATATATATATATATTTAAGGTTCATCTTTTTATTTGGTTTATCACCAAAAATAAAAATAAAAATAAAAATGCATTTATAACGAAATTCGGAATACAACGATTAGCTATTGAAATAGAGAGAATATGATGAATAGTTTCATAACATATCACACAATATCCTATTAAGACAACGACAAAAGAAAAATAACAGAAAAATCAGCAATCCAGCTACGAAGAGATTGAACCATATTATGTTAATTGTTTCATGCTTCGGCTTCGTCACCCCCACAATGTCCACGTCCCGCACGATCAAAAGATGAGCCATCACCATCTTTCTCAAACCGTCGCAATGCCCTGCATAAGCTAACACGTAACTCTACAAACGCTTGGTACCTCCCCTTCAACTCCTCCACGCTCAAGACTTCCGCAGGAACGTTCCACCACATTTGGTCTAACTTCTTTTGACTTCTCAATTCCTTCAAATTTTTCTCCTTCTCCTTCAACATATCTAGCTCCTCATCGAGCTCAAGGTGAACTTTCATGAGGTCCTGGATCCTTTTTTTCTTGTAGGCTTCGACTAGTGGTCCGGTATTGGATTCGTCTTTCACGGGCGGTTCATGTCTCAAATGGTTCTCTAACCGGCCAGCCACTTCCTCCATTGAAGGACTTGCGAATGTGTAAGGCTTCCCGGCTTGAGAGAAAACCAAGAAAGCCGCTTCCACATCGCACAGTGTAACGATCTCGTTCATCTTCTTGAAAATCCCCGATTTACGTTTTGAGAACGTAATCATTCTGTCTGCGTAGGTTTCAACCTTCTTCATCTCGATCTTTTGCTTTCCCTTTGATTGTTTCCCCTTTGCATGCATCATTGACATGTTTTCAGGAACCTGAGTGTTTGGTTTCTCTGATAGGTGTTTTTAGCTTTTTTTTTGTCGTAATAAAACCATGCACGTGCAAAATCTATTTATAAGAAAACAAAGAGATAAATGTATACATGTTACGTTGGTTTGTAGACATTTGATGTACATATCCACAAATTTACAATTTTGACTAACAATTTTGCAACCACTTTAATATTGAGTCAACATACTAACATGGTAACTCAATTGGTGTAATGTAGTATGAAGATAGTGCATTTACAAATTTACAATTTTGACTCACAATTTGGCTACCACTTGAATATTGAGTCAATAAACTATTCTGGTAACTCAATTGGTATAAAAATAACTCGTCATTAATTACGTCGAAACGGTGTAATGGCTCGTCAAAACGGCATAATGACCAAAAGTTGGAAACATTTTTTTTTCCAACAAAAGAAAAACATAAGCCAATAAATCAGTAAAAGAATATACATTCGATAGTACTATTTATGAAATGATTTTGAAAAATGAAACTCTCTATTGAAGTTTAGTGCGGTTAATGAAACGAGATTTGCCCATTTCTACTTCGATATACAGTATTATGACTGTTAATTAACTCAGATCCAAAACACAGTCTTGAAATAAGACCAAGAAACGATGTTCATGATTTTGAACTTCTGATGTACAAGGCGACTTATATTACTACAGAACACATCCCCAAATATCAAAGTTCATGATTCGAAATTTTATACTAACAAAGCTAGTCCTTCACTCACACACTTTCTTCTGAAATTCAGTACCATGAATCCATAGTCTTAGAATAATCTCAAATACAGAATTGCTATTCTATTTTTTTTTTTTTTTTTTGTGACGGGATAATACCGAAATAGCACACAGACAAACTTCAGATATGAATTTTTTTCCAAATTAAAAATAACACGAAGTATAATTGTTTTCTCTCATATTTATAACTAATTTAGAAACCCATGAATTTTGATGAAATATACATGCTTTGAGTGTTTTAGGTAAAACAACCACGTACACTTTCAACAAACATTTAATAAATAGACTGTACTATATTGTATTTTTGTTATAACTGTAAGACGATTGGTTAGGTGAATCATACAAAGATATCTTCGTTTTCATAATAAAAAAAAATTAAAAATAAATAAATAAATAATAAAAATAAACATATTTGAGGAGAAAAAAAAGTGACTATCTTCCGAAAGCCAAACAAGCCAACTACCAGATCCCAAAAAGCAGAGAATCATCATTTCTCACGCCAAAGAGAAGAAGAAGAAGAGGAAGAGGAAGAGGAAGAAGCATGGGTGTTGTGAAGTCGGCGCTTGGGGATATGGTGATGACCTTCTCTTGGGTTGTCCTCTCTGCGACCTTCGGTTTACAGACGGCGGCGATTGTCTCCGCCGCCGGTTTTCAGGGGATCACTTGGGCCCCGTTGGCCATCACGACGTTTCTGATTTTCTTCTACGTTTCGATCTTCACCGTTACCTTCGGTAGTGCTAGCTTCAACCCTACCGGAAGCGTCGCCTTCTACGCCGCCGGAATCCCCGGAGACACCCTTTTCTCCTTGGCGATCAGATTACCTGCTCAGGTAAACTATCGAAGATCCAAACTTTGGCTTTAATTTTGAATTCACACTTAATGTCCTACTTTCTTTGCTTCGGGTTTACTCTCGTTTACTGATTTAGCCAGATATCTGTGATCTGTGGATAAAATTATTTCATGTGTATAGGTTTGTGTTTTTAGTCTGTGCGAATTCGAATCAATTGTGTATGAATCATTGAATCTCAATCGAAATAGCATATGCTTTGGTGAGGTTTTTGGCCTTTCTTGTACAAAGAAGAACACATAGAATCAGATTCTTTTGGTTGATCTACGTGTTTACCACTTTACCAAAGTAGGAAAACAAAACCTTATCTTCTTCGACCATCTTTCTCTATTTGTTCTTTAGCTTTTTTCTGACGTTTCTTGCGTGTCCATGTGTTTCTGTATTATATAACAATGAGACAGAATAACTGTCTAGTTGCAGTTTTTGTAAAGCTAATTCAGGAAAGACCGAAGGAGTAATTTATAAGCAAAATGAGTTTATTTGCCTTTTGGTAGGAACAAATAGTATTCATCACGATCCTTCTTTTCGCTGGTTCTTGATTCTGACACCCTGAAACTAAGTTGAAAAAGATTTTGAAAAGGAAATTGTGATAGATAATGTTTGGGTGATTTCAGGCAGCTGGTGCTGCAGGAGGTGCATTGGCCATCATGGAGTTGATACCAGAGCAGTACAAGCATATGATTTCAGGGCCTTCCCTTAAGGTTGATGTGCACACTGGAGCTATCGCAGAGACGATCTTAAGCTTTGGTATTACCTTTGCGGTTTTGCTTATTATCCTCAGGGGTCCACGAAGACTACTCGCTAAGACGTTCTTGCTTGCTCTTGTAACCATCTCGTTCGTTGTTGCTGGGTCTAAATACACCGGACCAGCCATGAACCCTGCCATCGTAAGTATCGCATGGTGCCACTTGCTCTGTAGCGTGTTTTCTCCTGAACCCATCTTGTGTTTGCAATGCAGGCGTTTGGGTGGGCGTACATGGACAGCTCTCACAACTCATGGGACCATGTCTACGTCTACTGGATCAGTTCTTTCGTAGGAGCTTTATCTGCTGCATTGGTCTTCCGTTCTATCTTCCCGCCACCTCGACCCCAGAAGAAACAGAAGAAAGCCTGAGACAACACCGGGTCATATTCTCTACCGGTTTGGGCTGTGGAAGAAGGACTCAGAAGGTGGTTCCATTCTAAAATAAGGAGAAAGCCAAAACAAAAATTTAAAGTCTCCTTATTAATTGTTGTTTTAAATTTTCACCCCTTTATATTTATGGATTTGTGCGGTTTGTGCATAAATTCATTCAGACTCTCTTCCGGCTAAGCACCTGTAGATTATTAAAGCTCTGGTTTGGTTTAGTTTAGTTCTGTACGGTTCATTCTCTAGTTTGGTTCTGAGAACAAAGAAGAAATCAAAAGGCCAAAAAAAAAACGTCTAACCGTTTGTGGGAGACCCATTGAATGGATCACACAATTCGGTTTAGCTGGGATCTCTGTGGCTTGTTTTTCTTGAAATTTGTCTCAAACCGAAGAAATTGTCATTAACCTTAGTATGATTTTAGCTAACATTGTCACAGTTTAGCTCAAATTCCCCTTAATGACAATGTTAGTATGATTTTTTTAATTTTTAATTAGTTAAAAAGTAATGTCTAAACTTTACACTAATGTCAGCTTTTCGTGGATGTTACCCAACTCTCTTCCGCAATTATCATAATAACGTATTAACGTCTTCGTTTAGTCGTATCGCTCACGGGAAATTGGGTTCCCGATTCAGATCTGTAGCCCAAGTTTGAATTCGAAACCTGGGATCAGTCCGGTAGCAACCGCACTTGCAATCGATCGCCGATCTGGATCCGTCAAAGGATCCGCCGCAGTCCTTGAAGACGTCGGCGTCCTCCGCCACCGGCAACAAGATCCGCTACCGCTCGCCTTCCGCCTCTGAGCTTCTGGAGTCAGGACTCGCCACCGGATTGTCCGGCAACCATTCTCCTACCTCCGACTCTCATCAGGGCCTTCTGTCTATCGACGGTGGGAAGATGACGGCGAAGCGAGCTATCGGGCGGCACGAGTCTCTTTCCGACAAGATCCATCGCCATCGCGGTCTCGTACTCCTGATCTCGATTCCCATTGTGTTGATCACTCTCGTGCTTCTGTTGATGCCTGGGACGTCGACGTCCGTCTCGGTCATTGAGGAGTACACGATGAAAAACCGCGCGGGAGGCTCGAATTCGAGGGGGCCCAAGAACTTCGCTGTGATTTTCGATGCTGGAAGCTCTGGTAGCCGCGTGCATGTTTACTGTTTCGATCAGAATTTGGATCTCGTTCCTTTGGGCAATGAGCTTGAGCTCTTCCTTCAGGTGTTGCATTTGTTTTGCTCTTCGTTCGTCGCTATTTGATTCATCTTCTTACTGTGAAAACCAATCATACAAATTTTCTTCTTTTAAGTCTCTCTCTTGTTGGTTTGAAAAGAGAAGAAGCAGACTTTTTGCTCGTTTTTAAGAGTTTTTGATCTTTCTCTGAAGTTGATAGCTCTGAAACTTGGATCTTGGTTTGAAATTCTTCACTCTTTGAATCCCAGCAAGCAGCTTGGCGGATGAATTTTGATTCCACAATTGGCTTAGTTTTTGTTTTGTTTTATCTTGCATTTTGGTGGCACTTCAACTCGCTGGGGTCTGAACTATTATTCTGATATAATTTCAGCTAAAACCAGGGTTGAGTGCGTATCCTAATGATCCTCGGCAATCAGCAAACTCTTTGATGAGTCTTCTTGACAAAGCAGAGGCTTCTGTTCCCAGTGAGTTGCGCCCGAAGACTCCTGTCAGAGTTGGGGTAAGGAAACGAGTTCTTGCACACAAACACAAATGAAGCTATATCATGTGGTCATCCAGTTTTGTGTTAATCGTTTAAACTCTTTTTGCGTTATATCCTGTGTGTAGGCAACTGCAGGTTTGAGGGCATTGGGTCACAAAGCTTCTGAAAACATTTTGGAAGCGGTAATTTTTATGCATATGATGATTTCTATAAATATTCGCCTGCTTGTCTAGCTTTCATACTTAAACACACAATTTTTTTTTTTTTTTTAAGGTTAGGGAGCTGTTGAAAGATAGAAGCAGGTTGAAGACTGAGGCAAATGCAGTTACAGTTCTCGATGGTACTCAGGAAGGTTCTTATCAGTGGGTATGTTGTAGTTTTTTCTATCTATTTGTGTGAGACTCATATTAGATTTAGTTCGTATTTTCATTATATTGTCGTGCGGCTATAGACTTGTGAAGTCAAGTAACAAGTTCCCATTTTCTCCAAATTTCTCCATTCTTAAGGTGACCATCAACTACTTGCTAAGGACCTTGGGAAAGCCTTACTCAGATACAGTAGGAGTGGTTGATCTTGGAGGGGGTTCTGTTCAAATGGCATATGCGATATCAGAGGAAGATGCTGCAAAAGCACCAAAACCATTAGAAGGCGAGGATTCTTATGTGAGAGAGATGTATCTGAAGGGACGAAAGTATTTCCTTTATGTTCACAGGTTGGTCATTTGTCGTTGCTTTTGTACCCATTAGATATTTATGTTCTTTCATTCACCCGGCATGAAACTAGTTTTTATATAACCTTAAACTTTAACGCAATATCTTATCGTCTTGCTGATCGCAGCTACCTACATTATGGGCTATTGGCTGCCCGAGCAGAGATTTTGAAAGTTTCTGAGGGCTCTAGCAACCCCTGCATTGTGAACGGCTATGATGGTAAGTGAGAGACATTATTACTTTATCAAGGAACACTCTTTCAAACTAGAACTCTCTGCACCCGATCCCCATCACATTACTCATTCTTTTATACGTCCGTTTAGTTTCTAGACAGCACGAAGAAATCAGTGTTGTATTCTTTTCGCATGTAATCACCTTACGTTCGCCCGGTCCTGCTCTTCATTTTTTTTTTCACTTTTTGATGTAGATAGCTATAAGTAGGGAACATATGGCTCTGCTGTTGCTCTAGTATTTTACATTGCACTTTCTAGTTCCTTTATACTCAGTGATTCGTTTCAGGTACTTACAAGTATGGTGGAAAAGCGTTTAAAGCGGCAGCTTCTCCATCTGGTGCAAGTTTAGACGAATGCCGGCGAGTAGCTCTTAACGCACTAAAAGTCAATGATTCACTGTGTACACACATGAAATGCACATTCGGTGGAGTCTGGAACGGTGGGGGCGGTGGTGGCCAAAAAAATATGTTTGTCGCATCATTTTTCTTCGATAGAGCCGCAGAGGTAATATAATATCTATCGCCTTTTTAAGACTTCACGAAGCTGTTACGTAACATCACATTGATTGTTATGCTTGGGATCCGACGCAGGCCGGTTTTGTTGACCCGACGCAACCTGTGGCTACGGTTCGACCAGTTGACTTTGAGAAAGCAGCCAGCAAAGCTTGTAACATGAAAATGGGAGAAGGGAAGTCGAAGTTCCCACGTGTGGAGGAAGACAATCTTCCTTACTTGTGCTTGGATCTTGTTTACCAATATACTCTCCTCGTTGATGGATTCGGTAAGCTACTCTTTACGCCCGATGATATATAGGATGACCATGATTGGATAATAATTGGAAGGTGTTAGAATGAAATATACAGAAAAATATAATACTAAACTAATCCCCAATTCGTATAGTTTAATTATTTTGTTTGTTAAAATATATATATATATATATATAAACAGGGTTGAAGGCATCACAGACAATAACGTTAGTGAAGAAGGTGAAATATGGAGAATATGCCGTGGAAGCTGCGTGGCCACTAGGAAGCGCCATAGAGGCCGTATCCTCACCTTGAGTGGGGGGAATTTGCACAAAAACCCTCATTCTTTTTTATTTCTCCCAAAATTTCCTCTAACCTTTTATTTTTTCTACCTCAAAATTTTGTTTTCATCATAATCCTTACTATCGATTTTTGTTACAATAATCACGAAGAAAAAAAAGAGTTTCGATTCCTGCATATTATATATCTAATTTCAATTTATTTATTTTGTAAACTAAACTGCATACGTGTCCTCTTATGTTTCGTATAAATGTTTTCCTTGTTGAGCGTTTTTTTCTTGGCGATCGAGAATTTAAAGTTGTAGTCTGTTCTGTCTCCACGTAGAATCGTCTCTCTCTTTTTTTCTTCAAACCTACAATTATTGGGACTGATTGTTTCAGTTTAATATTTCATAATTCAAAACATTTCCCATTTGTAATCCGTTATTCAAATCCCATAAAATTCCCATATTAGGCCAATGTATTTTTTCCGTTGAATTCTAGGTTTTATTATTTGTCGAGCAAAAAAAAAAAAGGTGAAAGTTTCGAAACAGATAAGCGCTGACCAGTCAAAGGTAGTATTATACAGTAGTTTGGAACTTATACGTTAGATGAAGTGGTCCTGTCATATATAAATCGAACTACTTTGATTTATGACCGTTTACACGCCCACCCATTCTAATCTCATGTCACTACCAACTTGACTTCCAAGACCAAAGTAATACATTAATATGCTTCTAATAAACAATGGAAACCCTATGAAAACTCAAATCGGCCATAGCTATATATATATATATATAGAGTATATACTTTATAAGGATTTATGACCATTTGGTTCACAATCAGTTTATCATTGCTTGCTTCAGTTCAAACAAGCAAAATTTCAGCAGTTAAAACGTCATATGACTAATAATTTGGATATTTGTATTTAGAGGTTTCTATATATATTATATATTATAGATTGAGGTTGGACTTTTCAGCTTATCCATTGTAGAAGGTACATTGGCATCAATAATTTGTTTAAAAACTTTTAATAAATGAACTTACGATAGAAAGAAGAAAAAAGATGATAAACAATACCAATTTTAAGCTTCGAGAAATACAAAAGTTACAACTTAAAAAGTATAAGATGTTGATTGGTGAGCAGTTGCAAACTTGACAAGTGAGTGTTCGAATTCGAGTAGAACAAGTAACCTTTCATTATATCAAACCATACTGAGACACGCTTATTAATTAGTTATTACGATAAACAAAATCTAATTTTGTTAGATATTTTCTTAATACAAGGATCCACGCCCATATTTACATGTATACGATTATATATCTTAATCTTTATAAAGTGGAGAAATTAATGGGAAAAAAAGATGTGAAAATAAGTGCTAAAAGCCTAAAAGTACAAAATGCCATTCCTAAATTACGTAAAGGACCACACCATTCAGCTAAGTTAGTACCCATCAATCCAGAAACGAAAAAGCAATCTCAAAAAAAAAAAAAAAAAAAAAAAAGATAGCATAAAGATAAAGAAGAAAATGATGTAAGTTAAGATGAGCATTGATATTTTTTCCTTTCGGTATACTAAAAATAATAATTATTTATATTGAATAGTATAGTGCTTACTAAATACTGATAGTTTATAAAAATTAATTAGTAAGTTTCTATTATACTTGCATATGTGTAAAATGAGTAAATTAATTAAAAAAATATTAATCGTTGTAACGAGAGCGAGATACTTACTGTAAACCAGTTACGTATCTAGCTACGACCTAAATTTGATGAGATGATTCATCAAATAATTAGTATCTTATATGTAGAAAACTAGAAATAACACAATGGATCGATCCTTCTATCTCTTTTTTTGTTAAAGGAATTGATCCATCTATCATTCCGTCACAGTTTGTTTTTCATTTTTTTGAAAAACAGTTGAATTGAAGTGGATAATATCAAACGAGAGGAGTATGAGTTGCTTCATTCTTTTGGCATATGCTATCTTTTTTACGGTTTGTCTTGTAATAATCTATAATACTAATATTTATTTATCTTTCTTAAAGCACAAGTTTCTTGGCATTTTCCAAATTTCTGTAACCGTCTATTTCTCCTTGTTATTTTCTTACAAGTTAGACTTTATTTACAAATATATAACCTGTACGCACACTGATGTATGTATTATGTATATACGTGTCATTTAGAGATTTTTTTGTGAGGAGAATTTTTTTTGCATCTGTAAATATAATTTGAGGATCTTTTCTTTGGTCGAATCTGAGAGACGACAAATGAAAGCGACCGTAGTTGGCCTTCTTAGATTTTTAAAAACGTTTGCAAATTTACTATATCAAAAGAAAAATGTGATGCCACTCGTGGTATAAAAAAAGTGACGCTAAGTATAATAACCAGGACATTATAAATCATCATTTGAAACTTATTTCACTGGATTTGTTTCATTTTTATACTATTTTTTTTTATAGTAAGCGTATATATTCCATTCATTCTGGTGCAAACATTCAAATTTCTTAGGACATAGTTCTCGACCAACCTCCAAATGTTATATAAATCGGTGTCAATTGGTATTCAGTATATTTATGCTACATATCTGCATTTATAATGTCAATATAATTTGTTTCTTAGCTTGTTCAACTTCTTACCAAACATGTTATATAGAGGAAAATGTAATATATATACATGCATGCAGAACATATCGTTGAATAAGTTCGAACGTTGACAAATAGAAGCTTTTTGAACATCCGAATGATATTGTTCTCATTTACAGTGATCGAGTTATACTGTATGTGTTGAAAAACAATTTAATCACTGGTCTATTTGTTTCAAATAAATCGTCTGGTATTATGTTTCTCAAATCAGCGCTACTCGTCACTGTAGCGATAACGTTTATCATTGTTTTCAACATATTCAAATTATCTCCACAGTAATTTTTTTCATTAGAAAACAATACTTTACGCATATTAAAATGAAACATGTTCACCTATAATTATAGCTAGGTGCAAAATCGTTGACGTTTGATACAGAAACCGAGAGTCGCACGTGTGATTGCTGGTACGTTGACTATTTCACTCTCCATGATTCTTAACTTATACTATGACGTTTTAATTGGTTAATTATAAATTATTATAATGGGAGACTTTTGCATTTTAGTAATTTTAAAATACATATGGTTTTAATTACCTTACTGGCTTATGAGAAACAAAAATAGCCGCACTTGATAAATTTCCTGCGAAGTACTGCATGTTCTATATAAGTTTCAAAGACTTTCTTGTAACATGTATTTATTACAATTACATTTTTTTCGGTAGTTGGTTTTCTTTGCAATTGCCTGCTTATATCTGTTTTGCATAAATACATCTGTAAAATATACTTTCTCTGTTTTTCAAAGTAAGATATTAATTTTTTTCTTTGTTTTAAAACGATTGATGTTTAGATTTTAAATAATATATTCAGTTTTTAAAAAAAACTATTAACCAATAAAAAAGGGAAAAGTAGTATTAATATATTATTAAAAAATAAAAAATAGTTAAAAAGTAAAATAAAAACAATTATTAAAATATGTCAGTGAAGATGTTAAAACATCAAACTTAACTTAAAACTTAATTTAAAGAAAAAACAGAGGAAGTAATAAAAATCAAGGGTAGTTCGGGGAATTTAAGTTAGCTTGTGGTTTGCGTGTGCATGTAAAAGCCGCCGTGGCATGTAATTATCATTACGGGGAAAAAACTTTATCTAAACTATGTACATAAGATTAATAACATTAATCTTGTATAATTAACTTATTAAATTATGCTTTGAAAGTAGACGTTAAATATAGATCATGTGGGTGTTTATGATTCCACGTTTGCTCTTCGGGAAGACACCAATGTTTAAATTTAGCTTGCATCCCACCAAGAAACATATCAAATTAAGATTAGATTAATACTTGCTTCATTAGACAAAACACGTAATTAGTACTAGTATATTTTTGAATTAAATCAACATTATTGGCCCTCTTTTTTTGTCAACAAATAATTGTCCTTTAGTCTATACACATGGTAGAACGGCACTGGTCAAATATTACTTTTGTTTTAATATATGGATTTGATTCAAAGTTTTGTGTTAGTTCTTATCTCATTTAATCCAATCAAATTTCAGTTTGTTTTTAATTGCTCATTATTGAACATCCGCAATACAATATTTTGTCCCGTTTCACTGTTTTTGTGTTGAATGTAAATACGGCAAGAACGTATCAAACAAACAAATTATTGAGCAAATGTATATACGTGATTTATATGGTTTGAATGCATTTTTAGGTAGTAAAACTGTTCGTGCATTAATTAACATAAACATCTTTTAAAAATGTATACACAAATAGAAAATATCAAGAAAAAAAAAACTTCATACAAATGCAAACTAGTATATTGAAATACAACCGAAAATGTGCAATTAGTTTGAAATAATTAAACGCTTGATATATATGTGTGATACAATTTTTATACATTTCAACTTCTTCACTGAATTTTCGTTTTCATGTAGTGCAAAATTGTGTAGCTCCATGATGATATAAAAAGTATGCCAAAATAAAAATAATTGTGTAAAGATGTTTTTATTTTAAAGTTGTTCTTATCTCTTTATCTTTGAGTCTGTGGGAGAAGAAAACCTCTTTCATATTTATAATTTCTATTTTTGTACACACAACCTATTTCGATAACCGATGAATGATAATTGTTATCTATATATGAAAATAGGGGAAGTTCAGTTAATCTAACAAATTTGGAAAATACATGAATCAGTTAAAGCAGCAAGCATCGCATTTGAACGAATATGTTAGTGTGTCTATCAGTTTGTATTTCAATATCCTACTCTTATATATATGGCTTAAATGAAAATTAAATTACCTAGCTAATTAATAAATCGAATTGAACTATTGGCCTCATGATCTTGTCCTTGTTTTAAAACCAAACATAAAAATACATAGTCTTCTTGGATACAAATGTATATCTGTGTATCGGAACAAGTTCATTTCAAAGATTTTTACTAGATATATCGAGTTTTTCTCGAAAAGAAAAAGTTTTTAACTGTGAAAAAGGTTACAATTGAATTAACTAATCTAGAGTCTGATGCTTGCGTCAGCAGCCGCATCTGGGCTTACGTGGATATGGTTAGGACAAAAGTAAAACTAACCAATCAGATATAATCGCAGAGGACACAGCTGTCTCGTTTGGGTCCACTCTTCTAACAAAATTTCTTCAATAATTCACACTCAATACAATGACACAAAAATAATTATTTAAATATTTGAAAACGGAACATTTGTGTTCATACTTATGTAAGATCCTTGTAGTTATACAAAAAAAAAAAAATGTAAGATCCTTGTAGATGTTTTGATATATATTAGGAAAAGATTGAAGACTACTAATTTTATAAAAATATAAACGTAATTTTGGATTCAGTATCTACAATGCAAATTTCCAACATATATTCTAATTTGAGTTTACCTACCACTCCAAAGTTAACTTATGTAAATCCAAATAGTACCAAGTTCCTTATTACCAATCTTTAACAATATATATAAATAAATAAAGTCTTTACGTAAAAAGTCTAGTTAGACGAAAATGATACTATATTAAGTATTACGAGAATACGTACAAATTAAACGACCAAAATTTGAGTTAAGATATATTATAAGGAAATCAATTATTTCTTCTAGTTTCTGTTCATACAACATGCTTGAGTTCGATGACGATGTATTTAGTTTCTCGCCATAAAGTTCTACTAATATAAGTAGAGAGAAAAAACTTATCTTTTATTTTGTTGATTAATAAATAAACCCAACTGATTTTATTTCTTTTCATGGACGACTTTAACATAATTTTTGGGATTTTTCTTCCTGGTCTACTTTAGAGAAAATAATATTCTATATCTTTTTCTTGGTTCTAAATTCCTAATCTCTTTTATATAATTTATATAATATATACATGCAGTACTAAACGACAAAAATCCAAACACCATAAATTGCCCTCGCAACCTGCTCTACGAAAATCTTTCAACATTTGCTCACTTTCTTCTTTATCTCTTTGCTCCTCGTCAAAAACAGAATATCTCCTTTTGTTGTTCTTTCTTTTCAATCTAATTTTTCTATTTATATAAGATTCTCATAAGATCATTTAAAGAAACGATGATAAGCAAGGATCCAAGATCGACTTTACCACCAGGGTTTCGATTTCATCCAACAGATGAAGAACTCATTCTCCATTACCTAAGGAAAAAAGTTTCCTCTTCACCTGTCCCCCTTTCGATCATCGCCGATGTTGATATCTACAAATTCGATCCTTGGGATTTACCTGGTAATTAATCAATATATAAATTCGTCCATGCATATATAGATTTCATTTTCTTGCTATGTTAACAAGTTGTTTGATTTGAATCAGCCAAGGCTCCGTTTGGAGAGAAAGAGTGGTATTTTTTCAGTCCGAGGGACAGAAAATATCCTAATGGAGCGCGACCAAACAGAGCGGCTGCGTCTGGATATTGGAAAGCAACGGGAACAGATAAACTAATCGCGATATCAAATGGTGAAGCGTTTCATGAAAACATTGGTATAAAAAAAGCTCTTGTGTTTTATAGAGGAAAGCCTCCAAAAGGTGTCAAAACCAATTGGATCATGCATGAATATCGTCTTGCCGAATCTCTATCGCCCAAAAGAGTGGGCCGTTCTAGCCTAGGAGATAGGGGTTTGAAATCTAAAGAATATTCGATGAGGGTAAGATTTTGCAAATACTTCAACAACATAAAAAAAGATTATTGTATTGTGATGTTTTGATTCGACTAAAAACAAAAAAAAAAGTTGATTTTAAAAGTTTTGGTACCAACTTGTATTTTTTTTTTTTAATTCGGATATATCAATAAGCCATTTATTTTAAAAATTCAAAATTGCTTATTCAATACTTAGGTTGATTGTTTTATTATTTTGCCCCCGATACTTGCGAATTTTATATTCATCATTTTCTTGCAGCTGGATGATTGGGTTCTTTGCCGGATTTACAAGAAATCACACGCGTCATTGTCATCACCAGATGTTGCTTCGGTTACAAGCGAACAAGAACATGAGGAAAATGACAACGAACCATTCGTAGTCAGCGAAACCCTTTTGCCAAATTTGGCAAACGATCGAACCCTTAAACGCCAGAAGTCTTCTTTCTCCAACTTATTAGACGCGACGGATTTGACGTTCCTCACAAATTTTCTAAACGAAACTCCGGAAAATCGTCCAGAATCAGAGTTTTCTTTCATGTTTGGAAATTTCTCAAACCCCGACATCTGCGGAAACCGTTACTTGGATCAAAAGTTACCCCAACTGAGCTCTCCTGCTTCAGAGACTAGCGTGATCGGTAACAAAAGAGAAAGACTGGATTTTGCGGAAGAAACGATGAATACTTCGAAGACGATGATCAACAACTTTAGTTACAACAATAGTATAGATCATTTGGATCATAGTATGGTTCAACAATCTAGTTTTCTGAATCAGGACATCTTGATGAGTCGTCCTCACCTTCAATATCAAGGCTAGAGAGGATATTGTTTTCAAAACCTATTTACACGAATTAGGGACCATTTGATATATGATTGAAAATTAGTCGTTATTATATAATATTACAAAAGTATTGTGGAGGAAGGGTAAAAAATGTACTAGCTTATATTGAGAATAACGTTTTCACAATGACCGGTTGCAAAGTAATTAGAATTTTCTCTCCTCTCCGAAAAACACAAGGTATAATGGGAAAAACCTTCCACAACTTGCAGAAATAGAAATGCAAATAAAGGAGAGCAATTGCAACATCACGTACACCCATAGATTATATGACACAATCTTTTTCTCTTGATTCATTTATTCATTTCATTGGATGAACGATAAACTACATGTTCCTTATAGCCTGCAATCAGAGAAAAACACAGATGTAGATTTTAGTTCAGATTAGGATATCTTTTACAAGTCGGGAAAAATTAAACGAAAGCAAGTAAAAATTAAAAGAAAACAATACATACCATTTCATAATTTAATTTAGATAGTTCATCCCATTCTTGGAAGTGTGTTTATACATAATACATCTGGTACAATTCTGAGATATGAAAGAAAAAAGCAATCACCAATGAAATTGTTTGTTTGTTCTTTATCAAAATAAGAAGATTAAAAAAAAAACGAATAATCAGGCAATAATATGTGTAATCTCAACATTACCTTAACAACCGTAAACTGAATATTCATACACCGCCCATCTGGTAAATCTGGTAAATAGGTTTTGAAAACAAGACCGTTGTTTTCTTCATATTCTTGTATCTCAAGAATGACAAAACTAAACCGCCAATAAGAGATTTAAACATCTGAGAACGTTACCGTTGCAACACACACGAACATCCGAGAAATTTAAACATCTGAGAACGTTACCGTTGGTGCCACTTGCCAGGCGACGAAGAGAAATTGTGTTGCTCGAGATCTTTATGAATTGTGTTGGAATGTCGACAGTTAAAAGGTCTGGGCAGAGTATAACAAGGAAACGTGATGATGTCATCATTTACGTCAGTAGACGTCACCAAAATGATGCGGCTCCTTCGCTTTTAAGTCTTTGCCTTTGGAAGCAAAAGTCAACCTTCTTAAGCTACGCCCGCATACATTTGATTACCTACTCTTACTCTCCTATTCTCTATTATGGGGTCCACGCGCCAAACATAAAATACGAATTTATACAAAGTACATTATTTTTTTTTAAGTACAATACTTTATAAAAGAGAAGTTTCGAAAAAGAAAAAAAAAACAAACAGAAGAACGTTACTTATTTATTAATATTTGTCCCTAATTTTTATTCCACAACTTGCGAGTCGACATAATATCATTCTATATCATATCATCGATATGACTTATTCTTGTCCAGTTTCCATCATCTATATATTGATGAATAGACAATAACAAATGTGGGAATAATTTGGGATATATAACTAAGGTACTACTTGATAGATTCTTATAAATAATTGTCTCGCCGTTTTATAAAGTTTTGTTACTTTGGCTTTTGAGTAAATAATACTATATATATTGTATTCAATACAGTAGCTACGATGATATCTTGGTGCTTGGTTTATATAAGACTATAAGTTGGCCAATAAAACGAACAGCCAAAAGAGATAAATCGAGATTGCATCATTCGTTTAACTATTAGTGTTAATCAGGAGTTAATTGTTTCAGAGATTGATGAATTAACTCGATGATTTGTTGCGACTATTGACTTAATTACGACTTTTTACTAGAACTAAAATTTAATAACAGAAATCGAGTTAGTAATTAAAATACATTTGATTCACATGTCAATCTTCCTGGCGAACTTCTAACACACCGATCAAAGTACCAAAAATGCTAGTAACTCAAACATAAGATTTAATAATAAAATAAACTTAGCTCCGATACTGATTTACCTATCAGTACGTTTCTTTTTCTTTTCTTTTTTTGTTAGGAATTGTTTGAATTTCAATTTTCATGCTTCACAAAAATAAGAATCGCACTCGCTCGGGTTAATATGGTCTTCGTTTATGTTGGACATATATACTCAAAGACAATACAATATGATCCAACCATTTTTCGAGTGTGTAATATTCAGACAGTACAATATAGTGGTGAATAGAGACGAATAGACAGTTGAGTTTTTTTTTTTTTTTTTTTTCTCTTTTGTTTGAGATAGACAGTTAAGTTAGTTGGAGATTAGGTGTCCTATCGTTGAAACTTTTCAAAGAAAGCACCCAAGGAACAATTAAACTTTTTTAAAATAATTACACTAAACAATGTCATTAAAAACCCAACTAGCATTTTCGCTCATCATGTCACGAAAGTTTGAGCTAATTTGCCAATTATCTTTTAGTTGAGGGGTTTTACCCTTTATCTTTTAACCAAATTTTTTTTTGACTGTTCCATGAATTGAACACTCATATTCATATCTATACACATTTTTGTTTATTGAATCATTCGCGTAAATAAATATTTTTGAAGAACGGAAATATAACATTGTTGAATCATACGAACATTAAACATGCAATATTTGTAAGGGTTTTCTTAGGGATTCCGGATTCCTTTCAGTTTGATAACAAACTATTAATAGTTAAAGTTTAAAAGGGACATTTTCAATAATATGGGTCCACATAACACATAGAGAATCCAACCTTTTAACACTTCATGAATGGTATATGTTCCTTCAAACGTTTTCTTTCCCACGACTCTTTATTTTTTTTTCTTCTATTTTTGTCAAAAGGTAGATGTAATTCATGCGGCTATGGAAGCCATTTTCTTTGTGGATGTCTAAGGAAGCTATATTATATGACTATAATAGCATAGCCATATGAAATGAAGCAAAAACAAATTCTCTAATAACGGACTATTAATATCCAATATTATTTTTTTCTTCCATTTAGAGTTAAAAATATGAAACTGAGTGGAAAATTTCCAAAAAGTCTCCCACTAAATTTAATTTAGTTAAAAATGCCATTTGACGTTAAAAAATAAAACAAAATATTATCATATATAGTAATATCTTGAAACTAGAAGAAGGAAAAGGAATTAAAAGGAAAAGAACAGAGAAATTCAATTACATTACTAAACCATTTGTCAACAAATAACTGGTTGTATTACATACAGAGATATCATATAAGATAGTTTTAAGCGTTTTTTAATGTGGGGGCTTTTTCAACAATTCAGGAAGTTGCTTAGAGCTTACGTGTCTTTGCTACATCACCAAAAAATAAGAGAAGAAGAAAAAATAAGAAAAGAAAACAATTCTTGGTTTTAATCATTTTAATTTCATAGCTCTTATCCTTCCTTAATATAAATATAAGCCATTATTTTCATTTCCTTTAACTGTTTAGTTCATCCTCAAAATTCTCCCACCTTTGCTTCTTCTTCTATCTTTCTTCAACCTCTTTCTTTCTTCTCCAACGCCGACGTGTGTCTTCAGTAAACACATATTTATTCCTCGATCGATATCTCCTCTTCCTCAAAAAGTTCCCTGATATTTTTTCTTAACTAATCCATCAAGAATTTCCCCCATCTTTATTGTTCTTGAGTAAACATACATATATAGAGATGGTGGAAGAAGGAGGTGTAGTTGTGAACCAAGGAAGAGATCAGGAGGCGGTGGATTTGCCTCCAGGGTTTCGGTTTCATCCAACTGATGAAGAGATCATAACTCACTACCTTAAAGAGAAGGTCTTCAACATCCGATTCACCGCGGCTGCAATTGGTCAAGCCGACCTTAACAAGAACGAGCCTTGGGATCTACCAAGTAAGTCAAGTCAAGATCTCCTTCTTCTTTTTCTTTCATTTTGACCGTTTCTGATTCTTGATTTTACTTTTGGTGGGGGGTGCAGAAATTGCAAAGATGGGGGAGAAGGAGTTTTACTTCTTTTGCCAGAGGGATCGAAAGTACCCGACCGGGATGAGGACGAACCGTGCGACCGTGTCCGGTTATTGGAAGGCGACTGGCAAGGACAAGGAGATCTTTAGAGGCAAAGGTTGTCTTGTTGGGATGAAGAAAACACTTGTGTTCTATAGAGGGAGAGCTCCGAAAGGTGAAAAGACCAATTGGGTTATGCATGAGTATCGTCTTGATGGCAAATATTCTTATCACAATCTCCCTAAATCCGCAAGGGTATGTCAAAACTATTTTTGCAAAACTACTAATTTGATTCAGTTCACTTTTGATTAGAAACTTTGTGAGAAAGATCTGACTTTGGTGCATACAAAATGTGTTTGATGTGGAAATGTTTATTTTTATAATTGTTCTTAAATATCTATTAGTTCAACATTAATCCACATCTAATTAAGAACTTAATTAATTATGAATCTTTAATTAACTAAACTTTGTTGTTGTTGTTGTGATGATTATAGGATGAATGGGTGGTGTGTAGGGTTTTTCACAAGAACGCTCTTTCTCCTCCTCCTCCTACTAGTACAAATCAACTCATAAGGATTGATTCTCTTGACAACATTGATGACCTCTTAGACTTCTCATCTCTCCCTCCTCTCATAGATCCGGGTTTATTGGGTCAACCCGGCTCAAGTTTCTCCGGTGCGGGCCAACAATACGACCTGAAACCCCTCCTACACCACCCTACAACCGCACCAATCGATAACACGTACCTCCCTAACCAAACCTTCAATTTCCCTTACCACTCGGTCCACAATCCCGGATCCCGTTTGTGTCACGGGTTGAACTCGGGAAATGCCAACAAGGGTATGATCAAGTTGGAGCATTCTCTGGTGAGTGTGTCTCAAGATACCGGTTTAAGTTCTGATGTGAACACAACAGCGACGTCGGATATATCTTCGTATCCAATGATGGTGAATTCGGCGGCTAATGCGGCGATGGTGGATGATACCAAGACGTCGTATGATGACCTTGATGACTTGGGGATCTTTTGGGACGACTGCTAACTAATTTGAAGGTTGTTATTAATTGTGAATTTGTGAGACTGGCATTGTTTAGTGTTTTTAATCAGGTAATTAATTAGGATATATATACATAAGATTATTGGGTTATCTTAGGCAATGAACTTTAGTTAGACGACCATTGTTTAGTTAGTTTTTAGTTTGGGGGAAAAAGCTTTGTAATTTGGATTATCTTTCTTTGTGATTTTAACTTGTACATATATACTCATATAATTTATTTGCTTTTCTTTGAATTCCTCGTTGTATATGTTATTTGGCTATTTTCCTTTTATTCCGAAAAAATAAAGCGGAAAATGGACCTATATATAGAATCTGAATAATCTGAGAGGAACACAACTCGCGAAGCATGTGAATTATTCCTTGAATCTGGGCATCATATTAGCCATTTCATATGCCAATAATTTAGTTTACTAAGACATAGTACTGTTTTGATTAAATTATCTAATTAACTATAAAATTAAATAAATTAAAAAGATGCGTAGTGACAGTAACTAATGATGAGTTTCTTGTAAAAACAAACTCCAGATCCCTAAGTCTTCTGTCTTAAGGAACTTAGTTATTACACTCTAACTACTTTACGTTTTCTTACTTATAAAACAATATCATAAGCTTGTTAGTTTTCAAGAGTATATACAAAATGTTGAATTTCCTTGCGATAGTTTTTCTTTTGAGGATTTATAAATTATTGTATTTTCTTATGCCGTTTTACATTAAATGTTATAAAACAGAACGTTTTTCACGTTGTTTTTATATAGCTCTGAACTCTGAAGCATGAGAACATTCAGAAACGAACAGTTTTACAGAATTTACGATAGATGTTTATATCTGCAACAAAAAAAAAAAGTTTATATCTGCAACATGCTCACGATGAATAGTTTTATTTTTGACAGGTGGGGGTGGGGCCACAAAAGTTTCCGACTCTTGCATAATAAGCTCTTGAATAGTATTTATGAGTTTGGATCTCCATTTATTATTATTATTTTTTAGAAGGCATGAATCTGTTGATGAATAAATTAATGCGCATTCTAGCAAACTTTCTGTTTAAAGCCAAGCTTTTTCCTTTTCTAACCACTTCTTTCCCTTTTAGAATTTATAGATGATTGCCAAATTTCCATCTTTTTCCCTTAACCCTCTCTATTCCGTAAATGGTCACGCTCACCAACCAAGTAGCCTCGACAAATTTCTTCATCGGTTAAGATAAACCGGATCCGCCAACTTCGTAACCGACCTTACTTGGTTCTGAATTTTCAACTTGAACTGCCGACAAAATATAATGGGCCCATGGCATAGGAACCCAAAAACGGGCTCATGCATTTGCGTTTCAAAATCCATGCACAATCGGATTCTGAACTTCAAACGCAGAACATTAAAACAATTAACAAAAAGTTCGATTTGAGTTGATTGTAACACATGAATTTGAAATCTCAACGAGTAAAAACATAATCATCGAATATTCAAAATGTCAAAAAAACTTTAAATAATGCGACCAAAAAAGTGTCTAACATAAGTGAAAAGCGCCGGAGAACAAAATAAAAGGTCTAAAGACTTGATGACAAAACAAGATTTCTTAGCCTCAAATTATAGGAGTCGACAAAACTTTGAAACTTGAAAAATGACACCGTGACAAAAATAAAAATAAAAATTACTCAACGCTCAAGATCTTGAGAACAGAGGAGCCATCGATGTTGTGCAGCAAGACAATCGAATCTCCAGCCTTGCAGATCTTCTTCTCCTTTGCAAATTCGATCGCGACTCTAGTAGTCTCCTCCGTCGAATGCTTGCTCGCTGATGCTCCTGTCAGAATCACCGGAATGATTCCACGGCAAATCAAGCCACGTCTCGCCACCGATTCAGGGGACAACAATTCGCAATCATCCGGGACAGTCACCGCCAGAACCGGAACGCTCGGCCTGAATTTCGCCACAAGCCCCGCCGTATAGCCGCCCTTGGTGAGGACCACAATCGCCTTCGCTCGCTGAATCCTGGCCGTGGAGACGGCGGAAGCGGCTAGTCTCTCGATTTGGGACAAGGGCAGAGGAACGGCTTTCTGGATTTTCTTCTGCACACTATCGTAGTCGATGCTATCCTCTGCCACCTTACAGATTCTCGCCATGGTTAGCACGGCGGTTTCAGGGTGGGCTCCGGCGGCGGTTTCTCCGCTGAGCATGACGCAATCTGTGCCGTCGAGGACAGCGTTGGCAACGTCTGTGGCTTCGGCTCTAGTCGGACGAGGAGACTTGGTCATCGACTCGAGCATCTGTGTAGCTGTGACAACTGGTTTCCCGAGAGCATTAGCCTTCTCGATCATCATCTTCTGAGCTAGAAATATCATCTCGGTCGGAATCTCCATCCCCAAATCGCCTCTAGCCACCATGAATGCATCAGAATTCTTCAAAATCTGGTCGAAATTCATCACCCCTTCTTGATTCTCAACCTGTCAAGTCATTATCATCACAATGTAAGTATACAACTAAGAAATCAAATTTCAGTTTAAGAAGAAGAAAAAAAAGTGTTCTGTTTTTTTAAAACTCACCTTTGACATAAGCATGATGCTCTTTGCGTGCGTCCCAAGCAGGTTCCTGACTTCATCAAGGTCAGATCCTTTACGAACAAAGGAGAGAGCAATAATATCGATCTTATTCGGAACTCCCCATTTGAGAATATCTTCTTGATCTTTCTCTGTAAGTGTCGGGAGATCAACTACAACTCCAGGAAGATTTATGTTCTTTCTTTCTCCAAGAATTGCCGAGTTTTCGCATCGGCAACGGACAAGACCTTGATTCTTGTCAAGGGACAAGACGGTTAGAGAGATTGTGCCGTCGGAACAGAGAATCACGTCCCCTGGCTTGAGATCCTCGGCAAGCTTCTTGTAGCTCATCGAGATTGTGTCCGAGTCTCCTTCCAGAGTGTAATCAGTTGAGATTGTGATCTCTTTACCCTGAGTTAGCTCAACCGGTTTGCCTTCTTTGAGAAATCCGGTTCGAATCTCAGGACCCTGAAAACCAAATTAAACCGAGTCAATGTTAAATCCCCAATCGAATATTAGGTCACGTAAAAATAATTTAAGAAAAGGTTTCTGAAATTAGGTTACCTTTGTGTCAAGCATGACGGCACAGAGAATGCCAGTGTTGACTACGGCGGTTCTGAGGTTGTCGAGAGTTTCTTGGTGGTACTCGTGAGAACCATGGGAGAAATTGAAACGGGCTACGTTCATACCGGCTTTGAGAAGCTTCTCGATCATCACAACAGATCTAGACGCCGGCCCAAGAGTACACACGATCTTCGTCTTCTTAAGGGCTCCATTAGTTCTTCCATCAAGTAACTTCTCCATTGTCGAAGCTCTTTTAAAAACAAGACAGCAAATTTAAGAGTTTTTAGAAAGTGAGATTGAGAGCTCGTGAAAGGTTATGATTTATGATTAGAGTCGCGCATCTATGTTAGTATATATAGGCATTGGTTTAGAACTTGGAGAGAAAGGATTTCCTTTTCCACATTATAAAAAAAGGAAAAAGGAAAAGGAACAGTTTCCATTTATGTATAGTTTTAACTTGGTAATGATGTTCGACTTCTTGTGTATCAAGTAAACACAATTATACCCAAAAAGAATTTGGAAGGTAAAACGCATTGATGATATTGTCAAAAATGTGACTTCTAAAAACTAGTAAATGTTCATGGTTTTGGAAACAGTAATTTTAATGCTGAAAAATTTAAAGAAATTTTTCTTCTTCATGTTCTTGTATCTCAAGAATGACAAAACTAAACCGCCAATAAGAGATTTATGAAACAAGAAAAAAGCTTCTGACAAATAATTGATACTTCTAATAATGAAGTTTAAATTGATTAGCATCCTATTAAATAAAGCATGGGGATTGAAATTCCTATATTAACACTTGACAGTTATACGAATTTAACACAATAGATCAGTAAATTCTGAGACTAACACAGTTTTTAAAGCAAAATTTTCTGTGTCATACAATAAGATTGTAATCAGGAATGAATTCAAATGTGTGAAGTGTCAAAGGTAATTTATCTTTCTGGTTTGTACTTAAGTAAATTTTGTGTTACAAACTTACAAAAATGAATATTTATACACAGAGGGGAAGAGGAACAGAAAAGACCTGTGTTTACAAAGGAGAAATGCTAGAAGATTTATGCATTTTGTTCTTCTCTTGCTCTTGCGGTGGCCGAGATGAATGAACAGCCGCATGGTACGACGACGAGGCAAGCTGAGCCAAAGCCGGTACAGAGCCACCTGTAAAACAACTCCCGCGTAAAGATAAACACTAGAGACATAACTAAAAAGACCATTAATGTCCCATTTTCGTAAAATGTCAAAGACAAGTACAACTTTCACTAGCTAGATTGGTAAAGAAAAGGAGGATGAATATGATCTTTGTACCTGCAAGTCCAGCACAAGCTGATGAAACAACTATCACAGGTGGTGCCTGCAAAAACCAAACGCCAAATACAATCACCATGTAATAAGAAGAGATATAAACAAGCATGTGAAGAAAACAAAAAAACAGGAATCTGCATCTTTGTAGGGAGCTTACACCAACGAGAAAATGCAACCACATGGGTCCTTTTACCCACTTGCGTACAATCGGCATTACTGTATCAAAATCAACAACAGCAAATATTCAACACAATAAGCCAAAGAGAGGTTCTGAATCTTTTCCAAACAAATTCTGAAAACTTGAAACAGCCATTCACTCATCATTCAGACATAGGTAACATATACCCACAAAAAGAATCTCGACTGTTTCAACTTAAGCCACACAAACAGAGCATCACATTCACCTCTGAATCAAGATTCCGGAAAATTACATATATTTTACACTCTAAGTCACCTATGTTGATTAGAGGCGGACACAATCAATTGACCCAATTGCAGAAATTTTCACTAGAGGATACCAATTCCAACAAAACTAATCAGTGAGAAATTAAAGACATACCGTGGTTAAATCCAATGAAAGCACTTGCAGTGCCACCTACAGCTGATCCGATCTACGAAATTAACAAACCAGACCTTAACATAAATGACTAGTACATCCATTTAATCCAAACCAAACATAAACAAAAACGAAAGAGGGCACAAACTCTTTTGAGATCAGCGAGTTAAGATTAGTCTGAAAGAGACGAATTTGGCAACAAAATGCAAAATTTCATCAAAAGACGACATCAATTTTGGTTTGTTATTTTCTTTCAAAATTGAAATGAAACTTACCATAGAAAAGCTATCCCTGATGAACGGAGCAACAGTCCATTCATTAGTTTCCTGCAAAATCAATCAGTAACCAATAAAGCAAAAATCAGGAAACACAACAACAGGAGATCAAGGGAGATATCAACTCAACATCACGAAGTTGTGTATTACAAGGTTTTTCGTAAGAGGGCCTGCGCAGTGATGATATCTGGTTCCGATCTCTTTCCCTGAATCCGCCATTGTTTCCGCCACCAGAAGAATCCCAGCTAGATTTCTCTATTTGGGTTTTTTTGTTTGTTCGTAGGGTTTCTACTTTCTTACTACTGTTCGTCTTCTCCTGTTCTCCTCTGTTCGACAACACAGCACGGTCCTCGGATCCTCTGCGCCTGAGTCTAGTTTTATTTTATACCCATCCAATCGATTCTTGCCACGTTCCTAATGTCGATCCTCATATAGACCGGACCGGTCTAGCCGTTACTGAGCATAATCCGGTCAGGTTCCTTTTTTCATTTGTGAGATTTCAAGCTTTTTTTACCTCTCTTAATTCAATTAACACAAGATTTGATAAAAAAAATCCAAGTTTTTTGCTAAACCAAGTTTATCTTTGGAATCTTTCATGTTCCATAGAGTGTTAATTATTAGAAGGACTAAAGTATACTATAGACTAACAAAAGAAATGTTTAACTGGAAAAGAAAAAAAAACAAGAATACAAAGCACTAAAGTAGTTAAGACTTAAGACTGCGAGGGAAGAAAAGTAGATTGTAAAGAATATGATTACTATACATAGATTGAATTTGGCATTAAGCTCGTTAAAGTTATATGGAAAATGAATACCGTAATGAGGTTAATGATTTATGATCTTAAAGTCACGATGAACAAACAGAGAAAAAGGCTAATCTTCTTCTACTCAGTGATGTTAACAAGTAATGAAACAAGACTAGCTATATGTGGAAAGAAAAGGAACCTCGAATTGTTTTTTTTTTTTACGTTTTCTAATTTTCTTTTAATATAGTCGGGTTAAGATGAATAACAAAGATTCTTGACTTGAGAATGCGACTCAACTTTTAAATTTCTTTTTTTCTTGGGAGTTTCTGATTCTCATTCTGCAGAATCTGAGGAAGAGAACCCTCTTTCTCTTTTCCTTTTGATTTAAATTATTAATTTGCATAAGCAAAAGAATATAATTCCGTGGGTATTTTCCCGGCGAATGTAGCCCACGTGTTGAAGTATGCTCCCTACGCGAGAGCTTCAAAGCATCATTAAGAATAAAGTTAGTCGTGAACAAGAACAAGAATCTCTCTTAAATGAACGTACAAGGAAGAACATTTAGTCTCTATCACTCTTTCTTTTTCACTTCAACAGTGAATTTTCAAATGGGTAAAAGAAACAAAATACAGAGAGTGTGTATACTATTATCAACAACTGTCTACTACATCTGAAATCTTTCTTGAGCAACTGAGCTCAAGATATATATATGACCTTATCAACAAGTGTCGATACATTCTGAAAATCTTTACAAAAGCGCTGTAAATAAACACAAAACTTTGGTAAAAAAGAAAGAATCTTTTTACGAGAAGAGTGAGTTTGATGAGATTCATTCAAGTAGACTTTTTAGAGACTTGCAACACACAACATGAAAGCATATTCTCACCCACATGGAGATGAACTATTTTGGTAATATGCTCAAATACTTTTAACTGAAGGTTATGATAGGTTCTTTCTTCCCCCAAACCCGAATAAAGTGTATTGAGCAATCACAACCATGAGATATCGCCTAGAAAGTTTGGTTCGGTATAAAATAAATGCAAAGATATCATTCAAGGAACATAATATTTGTTTTTTTTCGACCTTTTTTCGCTTGTGAACAAAATGTAGACCATATCAAAGCACTCATTAAGCTAATGTGGGACTCAAAACTGGATATATTCTCAGTTGCACATAGACTACTAGTAGCCTACACAACTTCAACGTTTGGCAATCGAACCTCTCTATATCTATTTCTATGATCTTATTCTATTGGAGACGTGATGTCTTGATGGTAATATGCACGCCGAAAACTATATGAAAACTCAAGAACTGTAAAAAATCATTGAAATAGATGCAGGAAAGTGAAGAGTAAGAAAAGTAGCCGAGCAATAGATGTGTAGACGATTCACTTTTATACATGTATGAACATATATAAATACACACATGCACTAAATAATTGTTATTAGACCAGATCAGACAGGAGATGATACAAACATAAGAAAACACAGGCATGGAGGGGCCAAATGTTTTGTGCTAATCACAGAATGTTAGGAAAATGGGACCCTCCAGTAATTTTATACTGTGTATAGAGGGAATAGGTACTAAACTTGTTGAAGGAGACAGTATGAAAATATTCCTTACCATCTTTTAAAGCAAAACAATGTTTCCAACAAAAACTTTCAATTGTTTGCTATTTTAAACTAAAGGATTTTAGTCGACTGAGTGAAAAAAAAAAAAAAAAAGAAGAAGAAGCATTTATCACCAAATTACATTCTTGAAACATAGCCACATCAGCCCTTTTAACATCGGTAATAGCTGACTTAAAAGTCTTGATAAAATTATTAGACTCATAATGTACCTAGAGACCGAAAATGACTCTATGAAAGAGGAACAAATAACAATCTAGACAAATGAAAAGCATTGAGAATATTCCAAGAGAGAGATAGAGGTTAGAGCTGTGACTATGAAAATATCAAGGAATAAGATTAAAAAGTGGATTCCTCCAGCCCAAGTTACAAACAAAACAAAAAAAGATAGGAAAAAATCGGGGAATAAGATACTTCCCTCTGCCAGAATGGCGAAATAATGCGCATATGATGCATTAATTGTGGATCAATTCTGGTATCTAATTGGGTTGAAAAGTTGTAGTCCATAGGAATCAATGCATGAAAGGAAAAAAAAAAATTCGTCTAGAAACAAAAACATAACAGTTGAAACGATAAGGACACAAGTAACAAAGCATCGATTGGACCAGTTATTCATATTCCATATCTTAATTATCATTCTCTAATTTGCCCCTTTTTTCTCCATTCAACTTCCTATATAAAGCAAAGTTTTGCACCAAACCAACCTGAGAAAAATATATAAAGAAACAAGTAAGAAAAAGCAACAAGTCAGTTTTACAGTCTCGGAACTTGTGGGAGAAGCAGCTTTGATTTAAGAACTAAGATCACGTCAGGTAAAAGACAACATCGAAAGTAGTGGCAATCATTAGTTAATGCATTTTTCCAGGTGATGGTGACAAACTTACATTTGCATTTTTTGTGTGTGTACAGACTTTATGTATTACCAAAACCAGCACCAAGGAAAGAACATACTATCTTCTTCAAGAATGCACATATCTTCGGAAAGACATCCATTCCTTAGAGGAGGGAATAATCCTGGAGATTCTGGACTCATCCTTTCAACAGATGCAAAGCCTCGTTTAAAATGGACTCCAGATCTTCATGAGAGGTTCATTGAAGCAGTCAATCAACTCGGTGGAGCAGATAGTGAGTGTTATATCAAGAGATTTCATTTAATTATCTTTGACTTGCATGCTTTTAGATAATTAATTGTTAACCTATTTTCTCTGTTGTGTTTCAGAAGCTACTCCTAAGACAATCATGAAAGTCATGGGTATTCCAGGCCTTACCTTATACCATCTCAAAAGTCATCTTCAGGTAAGGCATCGCCTCTTACTACACAGATATGCTTTTCTTGCTACTTTTCTTGACATGGCTTGACTTTATGTAATTGGCTTCCAGAAATACAGGCTGAGCAAGAATCTCAATGGCCAAGCTCACAGCGGCTTAAACAAAATAGGTGAATTTTTGTTTTTCATTATATGAGATTAACAGATATAATTAAGACCGTATATAAACTTAATCAGATTCAAACAAAATTTCTAAACCTAACGTGCATGACACGGATAGGTATGATGACCATGATGGAAGAAAAGTCACCTGAAGCAGACGAAATTCAAAGCGAGAGTTTAAGCATTGGACCACAGCCAAACAAGTAATAATATAAAGTATCTGTACATACCAGCTTCTAACTTACTATTATAGCTTATCACAAATTAACCTAGCTAATCTATTTTGCAACCAGGAACTCACCAATAAGTGAAGCACTGCACATGCAAATAGAGGTCCAAAGAAGGCTTCATGAGCAACTTGAGGTATCTTATTCATATATACAACACTTTTTCTCCCATAAAAAAAACATTAAAGATTCTTGCAATTCATGAAACATTTAGAAATAGCAGACAAAGTTGATTGGGACGGATGTTCTAATGATTCAATATAACGCAAGTCTGTTCAAGCATGTGAAAAAGAGCTGAAAACCAAGTGAATATCATCATATTCAATAGAGGATATAAGTTTGTAACCCTAACTAGAAAGAGAAAAAGCAATTCAGTTTAAATTTTGGCGTATGTTAAACTGAGTCAGGTACAGCGACATTTGCAGCTCAGGATAGAGGCTCAAGGGAAGTACCTACAATCGGTTTTGGAGAAAGCTCAAGAGACTCTTGGAAGACAGAACCTCGGTGCAGCTGGCCTCGAAGCTGCCAAAGTTCAGCTCTCGGAGTTAGTATCTAAAGTATCAGCAGAATACCCAAACTCTAGTTTCTTAGAGCCAAAAGAGCTTCAAAGCCTATGCACACAGCAAATGCAGTCAACCTATCGACCTGATTGTTCCCTTGACAGCTGCCTTACCTCAAGCGAGGGAGCTCACAAAAACCCGAAGCACAACAGATTAGGACTAAGAACGTATCTTGGTGATTCCACATCCGAGCAGAAAGAGATCATGGAAGAACCGTTGTTCCAACGGATGGAGCTCACGTGGACAGAAGGTCTGAGAGGGAATCCATATCTTTCAACGATGGTTAGTGACTCGGACCAAAGAATCTCGTATTCAGAGAGGAGTCCAGGTAGGTTGTCGATAGGAGTAGGGATGCACGGACACAGAGGCCACCAACAAGGCAACAATGAGTACAAAGACAAAAGTGAGGATCAAAAGCTTGAAACCCGGAGCACAACAACAGAGCTAGATCTTAACACACATGTCGAAAACTATTGTACGACGCGTCCGAAACAGTTCGACTTGAATGGTTTCAGCTGGAACTGAAAAGGGCTTACAATAGATTAAAGAGAATTTCACACAGGAAAGCTGGAGAAGAAGAAAAAACCCGTTTTAGGGAACTCCTCAATTCAAAGATTAAAGATACATCTTGAATCAAGATTCTTGAAGATAATGTACCGCACTATTCATTGTTATTACCTCATATATACAGATAAATTACCTAACTTCATAGATACTCTAGAATTATTAACCCAATCTTCATCAACTAGAAGCTCGAGAATTTTTAAAAAACATTTTTAATCTGCGTTTTGCACATTTCGCATTTGATCTGATTAAGAATTTCCCTTATAACTGAAAAACCAAATGGAAGTCGAAAGAGCAACCATCACACCGGAGAATACGAACGGCCGTTCGCGGGAACTTTGGGATTTGCAGAATCCAGTAGAGAGAAACGTACTTAACTTGAACGCGTAAACCGCGTTTCGACCGCGCCACACGCATCTAAATTACAGATCAACTCAACCAATCATCCCCCGGTTCGAATAATGATTTAAAATCTGATTTCAATAGCCGAGTATAATTTTCTATTGGAAGATTGAACCGGAATTGTATTGGTAAGCATGAAAAATCGAAACTAAACCGGGTCGAACCGATGCAAGCTAATAAATAATAATACACCTTGGTCTTGCCTAAATGACAATTTAGCTACAACGTAAACCGGTCCAACTCGTGATTCATGAGAAAACAATTGAAAATCACAAACCGGTATGGTTAGTAAACTTGTTGACAACAACTTCTTCCATTCCCACAAGCTGATGGCAAAAAGCTGCAACGTCTTTCACCTCTTCTTCAAACTCAAACCTAAACTCTCTCCATTGATACTCATCTCCAGCTACTTCTTCACTGGGTACCTTCCCCAACAAGTCGAAACCATTCTTATCCACAGACACCATATACGCATCCTAATTGCCAAGAAAAGAAAACGGTAAACGACCAAATGAACATAGAGAAGATCCAAGACATCCATATAAGCTTTTTACCCTCGCGTTTATATCGAGATAGTATAAACAGAAAAGAATCAAAGCCCTTCTTCTCGATTCGTTCTTATTGATTCCATCTACTAGTTTTGTAGACCAGACCCCTGCGAAACAAAATCAAATGCAAAAAGCTTAAGATTTAGCAAACAACAGAACTTGATCCATAGTTTTGAACCAGCTGTCTTTTAGTTCATCACCTAATGGGTCTGCTTTTGACAGTTCCAAAACCTTCAAGTCTATTTCTTTCTTGTCACCATTCGGGTCGATAAACATACATGAGCTGAGAAGAAAACCAGAGAGTCACAACTGATAAATAAATTCATCATCTTCTGAAATCATAAGACAGCTAGGTGATGGGTTCTATATCATTGTCCGCTTGTAGCTCTTAAAAGACGTATTACATGGAGAATGAAAGAGATTCAATAAACATAGAGATCTTATATTTAACTTAAAACCTAACAATATCAAAAGCATAAACAGCTTAAGCATATACAGGATATGAATTTACCTGGGAACAAACTTATAAATAACGTATTTCTCATCGCCACCATCGACAAGGGCTTTAAGACTCTCGCACCGTGAGGCATACATCTGGTTAGAAGAATCCAAGATACTGCGGACTGAATTTGGGGACTCGCTAATCGCTCTCATCTCTGACTGTATAACTTCCTCGACATATTTGTTTACCGCCTCAATCTTTATATCAAGAAGATAAGCATGGTGAAGTTAACAAAGAATGGTAAAGTCATGAACTTTTTTCCAAATTGGAAGCTCTATAGCTCTTACCCTTTTCTCTTTAACAGGGACGATTTCTCCGGTAAGAGCAACTCGGTTCGGAAGCTGCAAAGAAAGTTAAACCCCGTTTAAGTGAGAGTGAATAAAAGATTCAAGAAGCTGGCAATGTAATAGACAATATAAACACACAATCTAGCAGAAAACAGTGAATGCAAAGAAAGATAAACACACAAACCTTTCCGATTAACTTGAACAAAGCTGCAAGGGGACCAGGATACGGATGTGCAATAGAAAAGGATCCACGTTCGTCAAACATTATGTTCTGCCAAGAAGGAAAACTAGAATTACAGAGAGTAGCTTTTTTTGAGGTTTAAACCCTCTGAAAACGAAGCCCACTTGTTAAGTATTTGTAAGCTTACAGTTCAAAGATAGGTAAGAGTAAAGAAGAATGTAAGCTTACGACATTGTGCGGTTCACTTTCTGGTACCCAGAGATATGGCTTTCCTCGTCTCATCGCGTACTTGACCTTTGAAGTATGTATTATACTGAGCAAAACATCCAAAAATACTCAAACTTCAAAACTCAATTTTGCAGAATCTCATGATCCACACTGAATAAAAGCAAAAACAGAATAACCGATTTCTCAGAATCTGAGCTATATAACCAAGTATGATGTTCTTCTCAAACTAGCAAAGCTAAAAAAAGTTTCTGAAACTAAGATTAATACTTTGAGAAGGCAAGAAAGTACCTCGCTTTATCTTCAGGTTTGATGGTATTTAGGTGTCCTCGCCAGTTGGAAGCGATTATAGTCTGCGGAGTGAGAAAAGTTATAAAACAGCCGAAAACATCAAATCTATACAAAGCAAAAGCTTCAAATTCTGAAAATAGATAGAGAAAAGGGGATTGACTTTGCACTTCTCCGCTACTGCAGAGAGATTCGCCTTGCTTCCTTTCATTGTGCTCACCAACTGTTCGAGGAAATGCCACTCTGATCACAATCTTTTGGCAAACAGAGGAAGAAAGTAGGGAACGGTATGTATATGTTTACAACAGGTCGAATGGCCCATAAATGCTTGTAGAAATACCCAATTACGGCCCAGAATATTCAGAGGCTTTTTAATAAGAAGCAGGCCTTACTTCACGCGCTGCTTTAGCGCGTCGCCCTTTAATTTATGCCCATGTTTTCGTGGTTGAAAAATGAAATATTTTTTTTTTACTTAAAACATAAATGGAAAGACGACAAAGAACAAAAACGGTTAATCACAGCTAATCCGGTATGATTGTTGACCGGAAAAGAAAATAAATTCAATATTATCATAATTGTCCACTGATGTCATTCATCTCTCCACGTATGTGCAATTTTTCATGTCGACTGATCTCAGTGCTTAATTACTTCGATTTCAAGTGTATGTTTACATTATATAATTAAACATTTTCGAATTTTCGTTCTTCGTAGGCTGATAATCAGCGTAAATAGTATAAACAACCTAGAGTTTAAATTACCAAGACTCATCATGAAACCTACACAATACCTCTTACAATAGAAATAATTCATGAAAAGATGGTTATGACCAACCGTAATTAGTTTATGCCATTAATAGGTGTGTTTAATCATGATTTTATAATACGCTAGCTATCACAAGAATCTCTATCGTCATGTTTTATATTTGGATGTTTCTCGTATTTAATTGGAATTTAATTTACATACATCATCGGGGTTTCTTTTCGTAAGTACGTTTTGTTTTGTACGTACTCAGATCGTGAAAAATACAATTAACTGTTTAGGAAAAGAAAAACAATTTGTATCTAACCACTACCCTTTTATTTACTAAATTGAAGCTACCAGTACCTACTATACTTCATCAAGACTACTTAAAATAGTAAGCCAAAATATACATCATATTTAAATGATAGATGTGATATGAAGTTCAATCTTGTTTTCAAGTAATTTGACATTTTGGTGTAAGTATTAAGTTATGAATGTTTTGGAGTTCTGTCGACGAGGAAAACCCAAAATTGAAACCTTTTTTTTTGCTGCGTCGCAATCAATAAAGTATGGGGGATATTAAAAATTTCTTACAAGACAAAAAAAATATCGACTGTCAAATGGTATATCTACAACCATGCTCTAAAAAAAAAAGATTTAAACCTATAGTATTATTTTTGGCAAACTATAATTTGTTGAGATTGATCGAATGGACCTAATTAAGACGATCCGATTTCGTAAAACATATACTAAACACGATAGCGATTTTAACCTGCCAATTAAATATTTCTCTAATCGAGCGTGTGAACCTCTAAGTTACGTATTTTGTTGTTTGTGTTAAAGTTAATTATTATTTTTTATGGTCGGTTTCTGTTTCGAAGGCCGGTTTTGACTCTGTTTCCCTTCTTCTTCCTCTAGAGTCTCTCTTACCTATTTGATCTCTTCTTCCTTCTTCCTTTCTCCCACTCAGATTTCTATCAGCTTCACATCATCGAGCTACTACAGTACATAAAACCCACACAGGAATTATAATTCTTTTTACCAATCCTCTTCGTACAGAAGAAAACAATACAAAACCACCAGATTCTTCCTTTACAGTTCAAATATCTCCTGGGAAAATAAATCCAGGATCTCTTCTTTTCCATCATCAAAATTCCTAAAAGCACAAACTTTTTTTTCGGAAAATCGTTCCCAAATCTCCAGTTTTCTGTTTGTGGCGGCCAAAATACAGAGGAAAGCCCAAAATGAATCGCCGACGGAAACAGAGTCCTATAACTAACTCCGCCGTTGTCTTTATCATCATCTCCGCCGTGAGTTTTTTCGCCGACGAAGTCTCTGCTTTGGGAGTAAACTGGGGAACAATGGCGACTCATCAGTTGCCGCCGAAGACGGTGGTGCAGATGTTTAAAGACAACAACATAAAGAAAGTGAAGCTGTTTGATGCCGACACAGATACGATGGGAGCACTCGCTGGCTCCGGCATCGAAGTGATGGTGGCGATCCCTAATGATCTGCTCGAGGCCATGGGAAACTATCAAAGAGCTAAAGATTGGGTCCAAAGAAACGTCTCTAGATTCAACTTCAACGATGGCGTTAAGATCAAGTAAGTAACTCTTTGTGTTTGTCATTTCTGGTCGGTTACCGAATTTAATTCAACGGATTTTTTTTTTTTGAAGTTACGCATATCTAGATGGTGATCAGTAATATCATTTTATAAGTTTTTCTAACAAATATTTTAATCTAGTTTTTCGAATTCGACTCTTTAATTTTTTTAACAGTCCTTTGTAACCATGATTAACGATAACATCGTTTAAGTTATAAAAAAATATCAAGATAAAAGTTAAAAGCCTCCTAGTGAGTTTAATTTCCAGATATTTGGTGATTTAAAAATCAGATATTAGACCCTTTTGGAGTTTGGATTATTGAAAAATACCTCAAATATATCAAGATGTTTGGATTTTTGGACTATAGATAAAAATTGTTTTAGAACTTTAGTGTTTACACGTAGTTTTTTTTTTAACAAAAAAAAATCAACAAAAATGATGACAACATAAAAAGTTGACAATGTAATGATTATGAAGAGGTTCATAATAGTTCTGAACACACCAAATTGGTCAGATAGAGGAGCTCCAGTCCGTCACACGTTGGTTTTGAGTGTTGACTAGTTTAATAATCAAACATCTTTATTCTCTTCTACTTATCTGTAAAATACTATTATTGGTCGACTTATTTAGTTATTTTATAAGCGAATTATTTGAGATTTTTCTTTTAATATATTAGGTGGTTGAGCACCACATCGTTCATTTATCTCTATATGCATACTTTAATAATATGTTTCTATAGTATGCATGTTTCTGCAAGTGAATGATTTGAATTTGGTTTATGCATATATATGGACCGTCATATATATATATCCCATGTTTCATAATTATTCAAATATGGACCGTCCTTTGTGTGAAGTATTTATTGCACATGTTGTGGAGAAAAGAAGTCTGGATCTTTCTTTTTCAATTCCCCTTTAATTACTGCAAAAGATGCAAACTTTGCATATACTGGATACCATGTGAAATATCACATGTCCATTTTTTTTTATCAAACCAACGTTAATTTATAAACTGAAAATACCTGATTTAATATTTTGTTGCAAACCTACGTATACAAAAATTGATGTGTTCCTATAGATCACATAATAGTGTGAAAATATAAAAGTTACATTTTTTTGTTTTTTTGTATTTGCAGATATGTTGCGGTAGGGAACGAGCCATTTTTGTCATCATACAACGGATCATACATAAACCTAACGTACCCAGCACTCTTCAACATCCAAACCGCTTTAAACGACGCCGGATACGGTGATTTCATCAAAGCCACCGTTCCTTTAAACGCCGACGTTTACAATTCTCCCCCGGACAATCAAGTCCCTTCCGCCGGAAGATTCCGTTCCGACATTCTCCAAGAAATGACTCTCATCGTTAACTTCCTCGCACAGAACAAAGCTCCTTTCACCGTCAACATTTACCCTTTCTTAAGCCTCTACTTAACCAGCGACTTCCCTTTCGACTACGCCTTTTTTGACGGCCAAAACACCATCAACGATAACGGCGTTATCTACACAAACGTCTTCGACGCTAATTTCGACACGCTCTTAGCTTCATTAAACGCGTTGAACCACGGAGACATGGAAGTAATCGTCGGAGAAGTTGGTTGGCCTACGGATGGAGACAAGAACGCAAACGTTCCAAACGCGGAACGGTTCTATTCCGGTTTGCTTCCTCGGTTATCCAACAACGTTGGAACCCCAATGCGTAAAAGTTACATTGAGGTCTATCTTTTCGGGTTTATCGATGAAGATGCCAAAAGCGTTGCGCCGGGGAACTTCGAACGTCACTGGGGGATATTCAAATTCGACGGACAAGCAAAGTTCCCGGTTGATTTTCAGGGACATGGTCAGAAAAAGTATCTGACCGGAGCTCAAAACGTTCAGTACTTGCTAAAGCAGTGGTGTATGTTTAATCCCAACGCTCGTGGTAATATCAGTAAGCTTGGAGATAATATAGACTACGCGTGTTCGCTCTCGGATTGTACCGCTTTGGGTTACGGTTCGTCTTGTGGCAATCTTGATGCGAATGGGAACGCGTCTTACGCGTTTAATATGTATTTCCAAGTGCAAAACCAAGAAGCTCAAGCGTGCGATTTCGAAGGGCTTGCGACGATCACTACTCAGAATATTTCTCAAGGACAATGTAATTTCCCGATTCAGATCGGAGAGCCATCGTGTGGACATTATTATTATAGCTACGGTTCCATGGTTAGGTTGGGTTTGGTGATGAGTGGCTTGGTGTTCCTTCTCATGACACAATGAGATTACATATGTTGTACATGACTGATTCTTCGTTCATCAATCATTTGATATTTTGTTTCCTTTGGATCAAATACAAAATACTCTGTTCTTTTGTTTGACTTTTGGCCAACTAACTAACTTTGACATTCATCAGTCCTTTTTAATGAAAGAACTCTGCATCATTAACTAAAGGGTCTCTCTCTCTTATAATAAAATCCATTTCCATGCCTTGACCAAATAAAGTCTTTTCCATTTCTTTCTGCAAATTGCGTACTGGAAACATTTGTGATTGTGATCTTTCATAGCTCTCCTCCATCTCACTCTAATCCTTCGAAAAACATCTCCGTGGCAACGGGTCCTGGAGAAACACAGTTCACTGTGATTTCTGTTCCTTTGAGCTCTTTAGCAAGAACCTTGGCCATGGCTTCTATAGCTGCCTTTGAAGCCGTGTATGAGCCAAAGCATGGTTTTAAATGTTGAACCAGAGAAGATGAGAGGAGGATTATCCGGCCACCTCCTCCACGTTTTAGCCTGTTCGCTGCTTCTCTGGCGCACAAAAACGCACCTTTTTATGTTCACACTATCATCAAAAAGAAAAACAAACAATCCTTTTTTTTTAAAAAAAATATCGCATTATAAAAATGCAGAACAAACTTAACTTCTCTCATACGGAATGAATAAATTGGAGAATTTTTTTTGAAACCAAAAGTGACCTGAAAATGCGATCAAAGAGTTCTTCAGATGTGTCTGAGATACTCGAACGATTGGGATCGGAAATAGCTGCAGAGTTAACCAGGATATGAACCGGCGATTCGAAGACCCGTTCCGCCTCATCGAAAAGCGATTTCACCTGACTCGGCTCCGATATATCGGCCTTGACCACGATGACACGTGGACCTTTTCCGGTGACCTCTTCAGCTGCATCGTTTTTTTACGGTTGGTGGTAATCCCCGCCCCGACTTTCTCGGCCTCGACCACGATGACACGTGGACCTTTTCCGGTGACCTCTTCAGCTGCATCGGTTTTTAACGGTTGGTGGTAATCCCTGCCGCAACTTTCTCGGCCTCGGCGGAGTTAGTGGAGTAATTAACGGCGATCCTAGCCCTAAGCTCCGTAAGGTGGATGGCTATGGTACGGCCTATTCCTCTGGACGATCCGGTGACTACAGAACTCGACCGTTGAGGCAAAGAGCCGGCGAAGAAACTGAAGCCATATGCTGTACCAATAAGATTTTTTACTCCCTCGATTCTTGGGCTTTTTTTTGTTAATACTTTTGCAAATTTATGTTTTGTTTAAGTTTAAGAGTTTATTTGTATCACTAACCTTATCTTTGATGTCCTGAAAATGACGTTTGCGATGATTCATCGAGATTGTCATTTCTTATTCAATTTAAATTTGTACCGTATATGTTTGGATTGAAGATGTATGTTTCATTTGCATACGACAGATCTTTAATTGTTTGGTTAAATTTTCCTTTTTTATTGATGTAATCTTCATATATGAATAAGGTTTTTTCCTTATAAGAAGATGTTGGTATTGTTTTCTGCCGATGGAGATGTTGAGATTTCTAGTATTTAATTATTGATATTTTCATTGTTGACTCCATTACACTGAGAAATTAAGAACGTGTTTCACATTCAAAAGTGTAGAGGCTAGAGACTGTTGAATACAAAGACCAAATCTTATTAGAAACCTAGGTTGTATGGAAACTTCGTCCGAGGTACGTTTCCCGCTTTCGAAATGTTTTGGAAACCGAAACTCTCGGAAACTCGTCAGAAACACGAAAAATCACGTTTTTTAAAAATTCTAATTTGGAAACACTTTAAAAATGCGTTTCTATTTTAGAAATACGCGTTTTCATTTTGGAAAGAAGATAAAAACTAATTTCTTGTTTTTATAAAACAAATAAATAATTATAAAAATTAAATTAAATAATCAATTTACTTATTTATAGTAAATAATAAATATTTTGATTTGGTAATTAAGATTAATTTTGAGATTACTAAGTTTGAAAATTATTCTCTGGATGAATTAAAATTAGAGATAGATTGGTTAATAAAACTAATAAAATTGATAATAAAGAAAATCTTCTAAATTTTTGACTTTACATATTTTAATTTTTATAGTTTAATAATTATGTAAAAATTATATATTAGATTTTGTTGATTAAATATTATACTTATAATTAGATCTTTAATACTTAATATATATATATATATACACGTTTCCAAAATGTTTCCATTTATTTATTTTTTTTAAATAGCATTTTCACGTTGCGAAACGTTCCGCTTTCACGTACCCGTTTCCATTTACATGCAACATAGTTAGAAACAATATGGATCGAAAGTAACAAGGATAACATTAATTTTTTTTATTGATGTAATCTTAATATATGGGTAAGATTTTTACTATGCAGTTGTTGAGATTTCTAATATTGTTATTTCTCTCACCACTTTCATGGAGAAATTAATGAATGTGTTTCACAATCGAAAGTGTCGAGACTAGAGATTGCTAAAGACCAAAACTTATTAGAAACAATATGGATGAGATATTGAGAAGAAAATAGCTAGAGGATAACATTAGATTTGAAAGAAAAAAAGAAAAAAAAAAAAGGTGATTATGGGAAATCCACTGACAATTATTTGTATTTAAAACCCGTGATTAACTAACTAACCAATAGGAGTGAAAAGTGAAGTAAAAATGCGTTTGTCACGTGTCACGTGAACAATCTTATCTCTAGATTTGACAATGCCAAACTGTCCTCCACAAATAGAGGCCCTTCGTTTTCCCCACGTGGACCCCATCAAACCACGAGTTCCATATTCTTCCGATTGTTCTTTTTTTTGGGAAGAAAATTCAAATCACCGAGGAAGTGCTCGCCGGAGAAACTGAGCGAGCTGCGCCGGAGCACTGAGATGCGGCAAATGTCCTTCGGTTCTAAGCGTCTCCACGGTGGTATCTCCGCCGAGATGATCCCGGAGATACTCCGCCACCGAAGCCGGCACGGAAACATCCTTCGCCGTCTGAATCACACACGAAGGGACTCTCACCAATCCAAGCACGCCTCTCAGATCGCTGTTGAAAACCGTCCTTGAGACGAACAGAGATATATCCGGGCGCATATTGAACAGAGTCCGGCTAAACTCTCTAACCGCCGCCGGAACATCGGCTCCGACGGCTAGCGGCGCGAATCCCTGGACCCAAGCCTCGTAGTTAGCTTCCATAGCTGAGAAAACCTTCTCGATCTCGCCTTCCTCGAATCCGCCATGGTAATCCTCGTCGTTGAGAAACCTAGGGGAAGCTCCGATCAGGATAAGCTTCGAGAAAAGCTCCGGTCGCCGGATCGAAGCGATGATTCCGATCATAGCCGAAACGGAGTGGCCTACGTAGGCGCAGTTTTGGATCCCGAGAGAGTCGATGATGTTGAGGAGATCATCGACGTAGGCATCGAGCGTCGTGTAGCGGTTGAAATCGAAGTAATCGGGGTTGACGCTGCCGGCGCAAACCAGGTCGTAGAGGACGACTCTGTATGTCGCAGTGAAGTAAGGGAGGATGAGGTGCCAAGCCGATTGGTCCGTACCGAATCCATGGGCTAGAACCAGGATCCGATCACCCGTACCCACGACCCGGACGTTAAGAGCTTCGAGGATGTTGTGTTGACTCATTTTTTTCCGTCTTTCTTGGGTTTGTTTGTTTGTTTTGAACAAGAGGCTACTGTTTATTTATATAAAAAGTTTAATTGGGTAGGTGTGTGTACTGAAAATAAAAATGAAAATTCTTTATTATCTTCTTTTTTCTTTTCCACTGCATTTACTAGTTATCCAAAATATCATTTATGCTTTTTGAACAAAACTTCTGGATACAAGAGCTTGCGTTGATTATTCCTCATCCATCGATCTATTAATTTTTTTTAAAAAAGATTAAGATGCTTCAAGGGTATTGTTTCAAGACTTTTAGGTGTTGCACTTGAGATATTCTCAACCATGTTAGATTCTGTATGTTGTATGTCTATCCATAGATATATATTCGGATGGCGATTAGAAGAATAATATAAACCATAAAATGGTTCTTATGACTGTCAGTTAGTTTTATGAAGACACGACGAGTAGACAAATTAATTGAACCATTTCAGTAGTATGTCTTAAGAGATGGGTTTTTTTTTTAATATAGTTTTCTTAAAAAGAAAAAATGGATGTCGACAAAAAGAAAATTGGATATATTTGGAAAAACAACAAATAATTGGATGTCGACAGTGTTTTTGTCTTTTTAAAAAAACATGTGCGAGTAATTAACACTATTAAGACGAGAAAAAAAGAACCGGATTGCACAACAACAGCCACACACCACAGCTTCTACAAGTCACAATTACGTTGAAATCTGTTGATTCTAGGATCGATTAGAGCTTATTAGATAGTAATAATATAATTTGTTTGCAGATTAAGAAAAATAAATGAACAAGACACAAAGCTTAGTAACTCAAGTTCTCGGCCTCTAACCGGTATATCTGGAAAGGGATCTCTTGCCCTCAACTTTCATTATAATCTCTTGAGAAATACAAGTTCGGTTTCTCCTATACAAAAACAAGTTCGGTTTCAACAGATTTCAGCCCAAATCCTCTTCTCGTTTCTTCAGATACGAAGCCAAATAGAGAGTTGGCCCAAAGTGATATTTCTTTCGGTTTGATTCAAATTCACAAAATTCACAAATCATGATGGGTTATTATTCTGATTGAACCTCAAATGTTTCAATCCTAAAACTTAACCCCTACATTTGCAAACAACAGGCCTCAAAAGAGGTCTCTCAAGACCAAACGCTTTACACATATCCACCATTAACAGCAATGATTTGACCATTGACCCATTCGCCACCATCACTAGCCAAGAACCCAACAAGAGGCACCACGTCTTTGACCTCGCCGAGCCTCCCAAGGGGACACTCTTCGACTGTCTTCTGGACTAACTCTGCACTCTTTCCTTCAAAGAACATGTCAGTGGCGATGGGTCCCGGAGCAACACAGTTAGCCGTGATTCCTGTTCCTTTGAGCTCCTTTGCAAGAATCTTGGCCATCGTTTCCACAGCTGCCTTTGATGCTGCGTAGGCTCCGTATCCTGGCTTTAAGTTTCGGGTCATGGAAGATGTCAGGAGTATGATCCGACCACCGCCTCCTCGTTTTAGCCTATTGGCAGCTTCCTTGCTGCACAGGAACGACCCTTTTGTGTTGACGCTACATTACATAAGAAACAAACAAACAAGCACCCGAGTGATTAACAAGAACAGGTGAAAGAATAAACCTTTAGCCGAAATTTAACTCGAAATTAGGTATACATACATATCTCAAAAACATTGGAACATAGAATGTATTAGGATTCATGGTTAGTGATCAAGTACTTGTATGTAACAATGGCCGAAATGAAATATACTACATTAATCTTACTCAAAAACATAGAACATATCACATTTGATTCGAACCAAGCTAAGCTAATGAAAGAAAATCTCTTTACTTTTGTAATATTTAGCGGTAAGACAAGAATCAAGTCAATGAACAATCTCGAGTATATCGCAGAGAACAGTACCTAAAAGTGCGATCAAAATCTTCTACTGTAGTGTCTGCGATCGAAGGGTACTTAGCATCGAGGATTCCAGCCGAGTTAACAAGAATATGAACCGGCGACTCGAAGGCGCTCTCCGCCGCATCGAACAGCGATTTCACCTGGCTTGGCTCGGAGACGTTGGCCTGAACCACGATCGCTCTTGGTCCCTTTCCGGTGATTTCTTCCCTGGCTGGAAAATCATTGATCTCCGCCGCGACACGCTCGGCGTCGGCGGATTTGCTGGTGTAGTTGACGACAATCCTCGCACCGAGTTCAGCGAGGTGAATCGCTATAGCTCGCCCGATACCACGGGACGATCCAGTGACTATGGCGACTCGGCCGGCGAGTGGAAGCGGCGGTTGCGAAATTGACGACTGTGCAGCCATAGCGATTCGATGAGTCAAGTGTTGTTGTGGTTTTCATCGAAGAAAAGAGTTTTATCATCTTCTCTCTTCTATATAATATTAATATAAGTTATCTATGTAATTAAAGTTTTTTTGAATGAATATGTAATTAAAGTTTAGAAAAAGGAACCAATTTTAAATTGACAGCTGTACAAAACGGTTCTTCATTCTCTTTTTTTTTTCCATTTTTTATTCATAAAATACTTTTCTAAAATGCTATTAACCGCCTCCGGCTACTTCACAATTGGACCTTATCAATTAGTACTTTGTCCTTCAGTCTCATTTTCAATCGATGAATTGTATTTTTGTGATTGGAAATGATTGCAATTTATTTTAGTCAAAACCTTGTTGCCTAATTAAAACTAAGACACTGTATTTGGACAAAAAAAATAAGGGAATGAAGATAGGGAAGTATAAATCATGTGATGGTAAGCATTTCTGAATTTAATGCAAATTGACTAACATTTTCCATAAAAACGTTGAAATATTATCTGGACAGTGGGCAATATACCCCCATAAAGTAGGAAATCTAATTAGTCAGATTTTTTTAAATAACATATTTTCCTAAAATATAAAGAGAATCGAGAAAACAAACTTGTTTTTTTAAATTGACTGTGAAGACCCAAACTTTACGGGACTATCTAAAAGCCACCCAAAATATTTATAAAACGATAAGAGCTCCAAACTAAACACATTTATTAGATGAATTACTTTCAAATAGTTCATAGATTTACGAAATTAATTGAGTGTCATTCAATCCAACCACCAATAACCACATCCACTTATATAAATAAAAAATTTAGACCATTTGCATTAGTTGATTTTAATGAAATCACACCAATTGCGTAGGGTTGAATTTTGATAATTTGAAATGTTAGTTCCATTTGAATAAAAACTAAAAATTTAAGGGGTAGGTTTGCTTTAGACCCAAAAATTACGGGGGATTACCATAAACCCGCCCATCTCACCAAACTCTCAACGTTCGAAAAAAAAAAAGTTGAATCCTTTTCTGGTTTTGTTCGCGTCGTATCGTTAGAATAGAAGAAGAGCCATCTCTCTTGGAATCTGAGGACTTTCAGATTTCTGGGAAAGGATTAATTTTCTTGGGTCACTTTCGCTGTCAGACACTGGTACGCTTCCTTCTTCGATATTCATCAACTTTACTTTTGCTGACATTCGAAATTCTGTACATACCCTTTCTGTTGATTAGGGTTACTTTGTTTCTCTTCTTCAATTGATATATAAATTTCTTTCCTTTGATTTGAGTTCATAAGACCCTTTTCGTGAATTCGCCATTAAAGAATAGATACCCCTTCGTTTCGATGATAATTATGTAAAAAGATCAAACTTTTAAGAATTTAAGTAACCGATTTACTCAACTATCTTCGGAAATTCAAAATTCATTCAGAGAATAAGCCTTTCCGTACGGTTCACCAAAGAAATTTCAAACTTTTTTGTTTTGTTTGGAATTGAGTGATTGGTATAATCCCTCATGAAAACGGGACAAGATTGATTAATTTTTTCCTTTTTCGGATATGGTTAAGAATGATTGAGTATGATCATTTTGGTTAAATTAGGATAGACGAATCTATTTTATTCTCGAATGATTGTTTATATTCCCTAACTTGTGTATATCCGATACTGTGAATACAAACTAAGACCAAGAGATGATGATTTTTTTAGGCTATGATCTTGCTTGTTGACTTCACTGTGGCCTTTTTGTTTTCTTTTTTCAGAGTATTCAGGAGGAAGAAATGGGGAGAAATCTTGGTTCAGCGTTCAGAAAAGAGTTGGCGAATCTTGACAAAGATCCGGATTCTAACAAGACTGCAATGAGCAATTTGAGATCTATAGTGAAGGATCTGAATGCAAAAGTGATTCATGTGTTTGTTGCTCAAGTTTCTGAAACCAAAGAGATTGGTTCTGAGTCCGGTGGCTTCACGGTGTCTCTCTTTGAAGACCTTGCCCGTGCTCATGGAGTAAAAATTGCTCCCCATGTAGAGATGATCATGCCGGTTATCATAAGGACACTGAGCTCTAGTGAAGGGTCCTTGAGTGTTCAACAGGCTTGCTCAAAGGCGGTAGCTGCTATGGCTAGATATGGAATTGAACCTGCAACACCGGAAGATAAGAAAACGAATGTGATTCATTCTCTTTGTAAGCCACTCTCTGATTCTCTTCTAGACTCGCAGCATCAACAGCATCTTGCTTTGGGATCTGCTCTTTGCTTGAAGTCACTTGTGGATTGCGATAACTGGCGATATGCCTCTGGCGAAATGGTTAACAAGGTTTGTCAAAGCTTAGCTGTTGCTCTTGAAGCCACATCAAGTGAAGCCAAGTCTCATATGGCACTTGTCATAGCTCTTGCTAAGCACAATCCTTTTACCGTCGAGGCTTATGCAAGGCTTTTGGTGAAGTCGGGTCTGAGGATTCTGGATTTAGGTGTTGTCGAGGGAGATTCTCAGAAGCGGCTTTTAGCTATACAGATGCTTAACTTTCTGATGAAGTATCTGAATCCCAAGAGTCTTTCTTCTGAGCTTGAGCTTATATTCCAAGAGATGGAGAAACACCAGAAAGATCAGATGCATTTTGTCAGAATGGCGGCTTACGAAACCATGAGAACAGCAGATAGATTAATAAAGGAGGAGGCAGATCCGATGTTAGATGCAGAGAAGTGCAACGACCGAATCTCGCTCAGCGGATCAATCAAGTCTACACCAAGCCTGAGAGCACATGACCTCTGCACCTCGAACGGGAGTTATGTAAACGATCAAGAAGAAGAAGACGTATTGTTTTCCGGTGTAGCCAGCGGAAGAACTTGTGTCTCAGGCTCTCCTTTGGTGGGTTATGGTGACTATAACCAAACAACTGGTTCTGTGCTCGAGAGTCCAAGATATGAAGATCAGGTAAAAATATGCTACAAACTTTGAAAGCTATCTCTTGTGTGTTCTTCCTTAGGGAAGTTTCATTGTTCTGCTACTTTGGTTTCAGATTCAATTTCCTGGTGTTGAAGATGGTAACATAGAGTCGGTTTGGTTCCACCGGAGGAACAGAAGCTTCGAATTTAATGAATCCGTGGGATCTAGGACCAATCGCTCAAGAAGTGCAAGAAGAAACACGAAGAAGAGACACTCAGTAGACAACAGTTCAACACATCACATGCACGGTTTCACACAAGATCCATTCACTGAGCTACTAGAGAACAGACAGCAGCTGCAACAGTACGGTGAAAGCTCATCATCGTCATCAATATATGATACCTCTGGTACTACTACTCCAACCAACACAACAGAAGATATCTGTGAGAAACCGAAGTCAGGTTTGGATTCTGAGGCCAAACTTAAGACAGGAGAGACTGAAATAGACTCGACGAGGCAAAGGAGCAAGCGTGGGTTGAGATGGGGATTGGGTTTCTTCTCTGTTGCAGTTGCAGGGTTCGCTTCTATCATGTGGGTGTATCTACAAGATGACATGATGCTTCCTCATCTTGTTCCTACTTGAAGCTTAAGGGATGAACATAGAAACAGCTTAGAACTTACTTGTTAGATTCAAATATTGTAGTCGGGTTCTCTTGTTCTTTTGTCAATGTGTGGGATCTTGTTCAAATACTGGTTTGTTTTCTTTTCCTCCAAGAAGTTGTCACTTTTCTTTTAAAATCCGTACAATTCTAAACCAAAACACGTATCAGAACAGTGTAAACTTGATCACAATTTTGACTTTGATAGTAAGTGGGGGAACCAGGTCAATAACCGGATAGGAGTCTTTTCATTGGCTCACATTAAAAAACTAAAACCTTCACAATAATTTCATTTAGCTAAGCAGGGAAATTTGAAGTTGGGACGAACATGGCAAACCAAAAGGTCCAAAAGAAAAAAACTTAAGTTGGGGGTGTGTGTACACAAGATGACAAAAATACAAAAATTTTCCCAGGATTTAAGAAAAAAAAAGGTTACAAAAGAAGAAGAGAGATTCACTACGAGGTAATTGTTCTACAAGCTTAATCTTCCTCTGCGCCTGCACCTGCGGCTGCTGCAGCGTCTCTCCTTGGTCCACCGGCTTGTTTCGCCATTATAATCTGCATATTTACATACAGCAGAGTATCAATATGTATCCTTTAACTCCTAAGCATTGATAAAACACTTTCTTTTCAGTTAAATCAGGTCGGTTTGTGCATACCTGGTCTACACGAAGCACCGTGCATGCAGCATCAGAAGCATACTTCAAAGCAAATAACCTGCACACAAAGAGACTTGGTGTCTTAGTTTATAGAGAAGATTAAACAGTACAGAAGTATATGCTTGAGTTTTCTTATAAACGGAATAATTGTCAAAGAAGTACGATAGATCTAATGGCAGAAAAGACGGTGTGAAACTTACTTGGTTGCAAACAGATCCCATACTTTTGTCTCGGAGACATCTTTACAAGCACCTTCCTCCAAGTCAATGCCTAGTTTTGTGTTTCCAGATCCGTGTCCAGTGTAGAGAGACGCTATGATTTCCATTGCATTGAGTCCGGCATTATCCGCAAGTGTTTTTGGTACAAACTCGAAACTCTCTGCGTATTTGGAGATAGCATACTTATCTAACCTGAAAAATCAAATAAAAACACAAAGTTTATCCACCAACCAATAAGGCAGTGAGTCTTACAATGATAATAAATCACATATGAACCAAAAATGATATCATCAGAAAGACGGAGTAAAAGAAGGTACCCGGTTTCTGCATTGGCATATTCCTTCAGTCTCTGAGCCAATTCTATTTCAGTGGCAGCAGCCCCAGGAACGATGCGGCTGTCTCTGCACATGGCCTACAATTAACAGCAAAAATCAATACAAATACAAAACATTAAGAACAAAGGAAAATGGACACTCGAGAAAGATCTTCAATCCAGTAAAAAGTCACCTTGTACGTATTAACTCCATCGTCAACAGCTCTTTCAAGGTCGTCCAAAATGCTATCTGTGCTTCCACGCAGAACCACTGTAGATATTGAATTACCACCTTGCTCGTTTCTTGCAATAGTGACCTTAAAAAACATAACAAAAAGACAGAGAGTTGCCTAGTCAATGATTAACATATATAAGTAACTAAAAAGACAGAAACTGAATTCAAAGGATTACTTACTGTCACACCACCAATTTCCTCTACTGATATAGAGTCAACATAGCCCAAATCATCAGGGCTTGGCCGGCTTAGCTTCAACTGTTTGATAATTATGGAAAAAAAATGAAAAACCAGGATATAACACCATCGGATATTACTCCCTTACATACAAATAAAGTATGTGAATGAAAAACACTTACATGAGCGACAGCTCCAGCTGTCCTGCAGAAACGCCTTAGTTCGAACTTTGAGCTAATTTTCAAGACCATTATCCTGCAAAGAAAAAAAAGTTCATAAATGACATGTATACAGTAAGCAGCTAAAAGGGAATGTCTTTATCAAATGTGAAAGCGATGAAAACAACTAGAAAGCCATGGCAAGATACTTACTTGTAACGCTCACAGAAGTGCAAGGCCATTTCTCCAACAGGTCCGCCACTAACAATGACTTTGGCCCCTGATTCAGCAACAGCCTTTATTAACTCCTCAACTTTGGCTTCCTCCGTTTTGGCATAGTTTTCCAGCTAGATAACAAGAAAAAAAATGTTACGATATGTGTTAACAACACTGATTAGTAATCTTGACATTTTTCAGAAGAATAAAACAAAGTTACGTGCAAGTAAAGGTCGAAGACTCATATGTATCGTGTACAAAGAACCGTCAGTTTTTTTTTACCAAGTCACATTAAAAGCGTAGGGTGAAAAAATAAAAATTCCTCACTGTAAGAAAGAAAAAGCTAACCTGCTCAGCACTGTGGATCAAGACAGTTCCTTTTGTCTCTGTTGCAGAAGTATCAACGCCACCAGCAAAGACAGCAACCTGAGTATAAAAAGAGTATACAGCTTTTAAAATCAAGAAAGACATACACACAAAGCTTCAATTTTTTAGGGCAAAAATTCCATAAAATCAGACCCAAAAAAAACTAGGCCAAAAGCATAAGCAAAAGAAAGCGATCTCACCTTTGCCTTCTCCATTTGTTTTATGCTCCCAACAGCATCACTTTTCAAGACCATCCCACGGACTATGCAAGAATTATGCAAGCCACCTCCCAAAAGCTTGGCAACACGGACATTGTCCACATTGAAGTTTGTTGGGTTCTTTGGGCAGACTTGAATGCATGCCTGAAAAATTAAGTAAACTCATCAATCAGAAGCTAAATCTGCGACGCCCTTGAAGAAATAACAGTCTGTCACAATGGAAACAGGAAATCAAACAGAAGAGGATAGCTTACATCAGCAACTAAAGAGCATATTATCTCCTCTTGCCCAAACTGCTTGCTGGCAACAGCTGCTCTCATTCGAAACACAACTTCATCCTTGTTACGCACATCCATGGTCTCAGAACCACTCTCAACCAGCTGTCCAAGAAGTTCAACAGCCTGCACAAAACCAATTATAACATTCGTCCAATTCTTAAACAAACAAGAGAGAAACAAAATCTATTTTAAAAAAAGAAAGGTACGAAACGGTAATTCCGAGTTCACCAACCTTATTGGTCGCTTTATTATATCCACTGATGATCTCACTCGGATGCAGCCCCATCCTGATAAGCTCTTCGGCGTTTTGAAGAAGCTCGCCAGCAAAAGAGATGGTGAGATTGGCTCCATCTCCGATTTCCTCCTGCTGAGCTTTGGCAGCTAGAACCAGGATTTTCGCAGCCGGGTGCTGAATCTCCAGTTCATTCACAATGGTTGCAGCGTCATTTGTGACAAACAGCTTGTCCAAATGATTGATAACCATTTTATTCATCCCTACAACAGCAGAATCAAAGAGGTATGAGTTCCAACGAATAGACTCAGTTCTAATCCGAATCTAACAGATCAAGTTTGCTCAAAACCCTAATCGGAGCAGTAAAAACTCTCAAACAACAAACTGAAACGAGGCAGAGCAAATGGGATTCATCATTTCAATAGAGAGTATTATTAGATCGAAGACAAGATACTAGCTGATCCAAAAAAAATAGAAATGGGATTAGATCCCAGAAAAAAAGGAAAATCCAATAACAGAAACATAAACGAACCATTGGGGCCGAGAGAGGTGCGAGTAATGGTGGAGAGCTCCTTGCAAGCTTCGATGTTCTTTATGACCGCCTCGTCTAGACCGGAGAGATGCCTGTAACCTTCTTTAAGCATCGATTGGATACCATACGGCGTAGAAAGACCCATTCTCTTCGATAGATGAAGAAGATCTATAAACCTTGTACTTGCGTCAGTGGAACAAAGAAGAACAAAAACCCTAAAAGTAGTAGCGACGAAGCTCTCTGTGTGATTAAGTTTGCTGCTTTTTAAGGGAGAGAGAGCTCTTTGTGTGAGTAAAAGTGGGCTGGATTGCCCTAGAATGAAACTTTCCGAGGTTTTGAAATACTCCACTCCCTTCGCATCACTCTAAACGGCAGCGTTTCAACGTTGAGGCGAATTTTAAGAAAGTTTAGGGACCACGAGAGAAAATTATGTTTTGAGACTTTAAAAGTTCATAAATAGTAGTATTATTTTGTATGAACTCTGAAGGAAAGATGAACAAATCATGAGTTTTGTTTTATCAGATGTGCATCCTTACAAGGAGGAGCGAAACACAATGTAATCTGTTTTTGAAAAGAAAAAAAAGGCATAGAAACCGCAGATTAAAGATGTGTATTTGGTTTTCAGAAATCCAAAGCCTGAAGAAAAACATAATCCAAACTAAGTTCTTTAATTAAAGTCATCATCATCTTCCTTCCTCGCATCTATTTCAGCTTTCAACTCAAGTGAGTCGTTTCCCCAGAAGTTCCATCAAAGGCCTGATTTACAAACATATCAGAATCAACAAGCTCAGAAACGATCAACAGGATCATCGGGTTTTTAAGGAACTGTACCTGTTTCTTTTGCTTATTCTTCTTGTCTCTGATGATCTTTTGTCTGGTCTCATAGAACTTGAAATCATCCAGTATACATGTCTTGCTCAAATGCTCCTTGAAGATCTTTATGATTTTGGTTCCATGTTCCAGATTCACCTGCACCAAAATCATAACCATTACCGCTTGATTTAGAACTCAAAAAGCTTCAACTTTTCACTTCAAACATGGTCCAACAGAAAGTTTAACGAACCTCTTGAGTGTCTCTGCTATTAGTGACGGGCTTGTTCTCATTATTCGCAAGTGTTATGTGTCTCAAGAGACTGTTTGGTACATCTTTGATGATATGCCACTTGACAGGGAAGCAACCAATCCATTTATCTTGTTGCCAATACTCCATTGTCTTGTTGAAATCCACAGGGCCTACCATCTCCGCAAGACCAACAAATTGTCCACTTGCATTCACCTGCAAGATAAAATCTCGATTAACAGCGAATCACCTAATGTAAATCTATAAGGATATTGCACAAACCGTAAGAGGCTCCTCATACTTACCGAGAACAGAAGATACACAGGACATTCTTGGGAATTCTCTTTCGCTTCATAGTACGCAGCATTCAGCTTCTTGTTACCAGTTGGTGTGCTCGACCATACGCCATACTTTATACTGTTATGAACATCATCTTCGCTGTATGACTTGATCACAAAGAATTTTGCATTCTGTAATGTCTCAGGGAAATTCTCCCCGTTGTATGATCGCTGGAGATCTACCACTGGGACGTCTTGCTTCACTGTCTCTAGCATTGTGGAGTTAAGACCTTGTGGATTCTTGACATCACTGCTCCTTGGTCCTCGACAAAGCTCATTAAGCCTATCAGCTTTCTCTTCACTTTGACCACGCCCGTAACTGAAGCTTCTGGTCTTTCTATAGCCATCAACAGGATACCATCCTCTCCCAAGTTTCCAGGAATCATAACCAAAAGTTCCATAAACATGACCAGAGTCGATTACATTCCCGTAAAGTCCATACAACCCATGGTTGGAATACAACTGATCGTTATACCCAAATTGCTCAAAACTCGGTGCTTCTTGTGAACCGTGTGGACTCTGTTACAAAACAAACCATTGAAATATGTTAGACGCAAAATTCTTAAGTCCCAACCTAAAGGAAGAAGAAAAGGAAACATAGATTCTGTAGCCATAGAAAGACAAGAGATTGTAAGGTGACACGAAATAGAACCAACATACCATGAGATGTGAAAAGGAATTTGGATTGCTGTTGTGGCCATAACCAAACCTCTGATCCTGGTAGCTACCAGAAGGATAGTTTGGCGGGAAGTAACCCCACGGGTACGAACCAACCGAGTCTCCACCACATAGCAGATTTCCAACATTCATATTAGGCCTTCTTTCGCTTCCATGAGAAGATGGAGCAGTGAATCCACCATAAGGTACATGGCCATGCTGCTGCTGAAGAGTAGCCTTTTTCACAAAACACACACTCAGTTAACAAAAACAGCTAGAACTGTATCAGCAAGCAACAAGATCTCCACAGAACAACTTAGATCCTTCGCCACAACATAATTTAACATCCAAGACTCGTAATTTCAAAACAGTAGCAAGCAAGTACCTTGTTACGGTTCCTAGGGACTTCACTTGCATCTGAACCTAAAGACAGCTCCTGAAACAAATCTGCGGTTTCTGCACCGGTTATATATACAAAAGCCAGTTAGTATTTCTGATAACAAAACCTCAAAATCCAATTGCATAGTCCCAACAGATAAATACTGGTGAAATTCAACCCATAAGCAGAACAAAAAAAAACATAATTTTATACATCATCTATCTTCTCATAAGGTTAAAACGTAGACTGAGGACATCATCAATCAATCCCAAATAGACAGCCTACGAAAGATGCTGACAATACAATCTCCTCGGTTGTTCAAACTATTGAATTTCGAAATAGACAACCCAAGAATACAAATCAATAGCTAAGATAAGTTCTACGATTAGCAGAAAATGAAACTTCCGATACCAAAATAAAAGAATAATATTTCGAGTCAAAATGAACATACCCAGAAGAGGCAAGCTAGTGAAGAGACGATCAGAAGAGGCGGCTCCAGACATATCAAGAGTATCAGAAAAAAGGCAGAAGCTTTAGAGGAGGAAAACCCTAGAAATCGTCTGTGAGCTTTCGGCAAATGGAGCAAACGCAGCCTCGAAAAACCCCTTCGAAGGTTTATAGAAAAGTTTTGTTCTTTTTTTTGTTTCTTCGTCTTCTAAGGCGGTGTGATCTTTAACAAAGCCAAATGGGTAAAACCAACTAGGAATACAAAGCGTCAATACACAATCTTATTTTCTATTTTCCCTTTAAACCAAAAAGATAAGGCTCTCCTCCTTAATGACTATTATTTCCTCACGAGAAGATTCTGAAAATTGTACGTTAATTGCTTGTAGGAATTAAAATAAGAAGTGCAAGACTGTAACAAAGCATGACTAACTTAAGATTTTTTAAACAAAACACACAAAAAAAGCTTATCAGTGTCCCCTGTGTTTGCTTAATGAGAAATTGACCTGTCTAGGATGTATTAATCTTGGTGATGTCTGTAACATGTACATGTACAAGTGTAAGTGTAAGTGATGTTTGATAGTATATTGTATTATCAGTGTTGGTATGGTCGGTCTAGATAGCAAAATGGTGAAATTCGATTTTGGTTTTTGTTTGTTATTTTTGTCAGTCTTCGACAGTTTCTAGGATTTTAACTTTTATGTTAACATATTTTGAAATAAATGAGTATATACAAAAAACGATACTAATATATATTGGGGTGAGTTTTTGCCTTTTTGGCTATCTCGGGAAGGCTAATAAACCACAATATGATAGGCTCCAGCGTTTAACCGACACAAAGTGTTTTAGATAGCAAAATGGGTTGATTACAAAACCAAAACTATCACTCTTTGGACACACCAAAACTATCAGTGTCTCGTGCCATCTCAACCAGATAATGCATCGCAGGCCCTCGTCTATTTGCTTTACAGCTAAGCGTGACTCGATCCTAATCTTAACCAAAACACCTCCCTCGTTTCCTCCGTTTCATGACTCTTGGACGACTAATCACGTGATTCTTTCTCCGATTCGAGCTTTTCAGGAGGACTTACATCTTCATTTAAATTCCTAAACACTTTTTTATACCTATTTAAAATAATTTTAGCCAGATAATCCAAAATCAATTACTTACAAATTATAAACAACTACGGTCGAGTCTTACCAGATTATACGGTTTGAATCAACATCCCACAACCACTCGCCGAATATGTCAACCAATATAAAATAGTACCAAATTATTGACTTCTAATACAATGCATTAGGCATAGAGTGTGATCTGTTTCACCGATCTCCATCAATTAAATGATCATGTGACACTAGTTTTTCAAATGTTACGCCTCTTCATGTTTTCATTTATCTAAAATATGTTCTTATACAAGTTTGTTATTTCTAGAAAAACAAGTTTGTTATTTCTAGAAAATGAAACGGTGTTGTTTTGGGTATTTAGAAAAGAAATTAATCGTATTTGTAGTGTGCATAAACATCGTGTACGCATCTATTTGATTTGTTCCATAAGACATGGAAACGATACAACATTTCATCGTACAAGTGAAATACATTCTACAATCTTATATCATCGTTTACTTCAAAACAATTTTTTTTGTTACAAAAGACATGTTATGAACAAAAATATGCTTACACACGCTGTTCGTGTCTATAAAGTATAAACTATATAATAAAACAACGCAATTACGTCCGATTTTTGTTTTTAATAATTAAGCTGTTTTTCTTAATATTGTAGTCGTTAAAAAGAAAAGCTCGTAAAAATATTTTAATAGTATTATAATAATAAAATATCAGCCACAAAAAAAGAAAATGCACGCGAGAAACCCAAAGCGGAACAGCGATAGCCAATAAAAAGTGTTGTAACCATTAGGCATCAGGCATTAGGAACACTGACGATCAGAAAAAGAAGTTAACGTTGCAAAACGAATTTTAAAATGAAATAAAATTAGGAAACATTTCACAAAATTAAAATTGAAAAAGTGAATCGATCCATCTCCCGAGAGAAAAATAAATACTTTTTTTTTTTCATAACTCAAAAAATCTCTTTCCAAAATTTGCACCTCTTCTTCATCGTCATCTTCATCGTCTTCTTCATTATTAACCCTAAATCTAGCCGCAACTATCTCTCTCTCTAGGTTTCTCTCTCTACCTGTATCTCCATCTCCGTGTCTACTTCACAGCTGAGAGAGGTTTTTTTTTACATTCAAATCGTCACAGCAGGAGGAGAAGAAGCCAATCGATTTTTCATTTTTGGAACTCGAGGGGAGATCTGAAAGTTTTTGTTCTGGATCGATCCTGTTCCACTCTCTTCATCCTCCGATCATCGTTATTTTTTGGAGTATTATCTAGAATCTTTCTCCTGGTAAATAGACTTTGACATCTTCGATTCGATTCCGGTGGTGGTTGTTGTTGTTGTTGTGCTGTGACTTTCTTTGGTACATTTTATATGACTATGCGAAATATCGTGATTTTGGAAGATGATCGAA